TATGGTCACTGAAAATATGAGCCCAATCCCCAACAAGTCTTAATGGTGTTGTCAAATGATTTTTTTGTTTTTTTAGAACAGACTTGAAACTATGGCGGCAGCACTGGATCTCAAGGATGCTTATAACAGAGTAAGATTTGACATGTTGAAGACTGCCCTGAAGAAGAAGGAGGTGTTGAATATGGCTGTTGAATTAGGTTGCAGCTGTCCTGTATTCAAGTCGGGTTGCTCTCCGACTGGGCCCATGGACCTCAGAACCATGCAGTGTGGCCCCAGGACTACCACAGAGATCCCCCATCTCGCCTGTGCTCTTTAACGTGTATACGAGCAAGATTGCAAGCCTAGAAGCACCAAAAGTTGGAAGGATACTGACTTTTGCGGATGATATACTTGCATTTAGGCAGGGGGGTAGAGAGGGAACAAACAGCCCGGGAGCTACAAGCGTCAGTAGACAAAATGACTGAGAGAACACGACACACACACACATCGTGATTGTAACTGACTCAGAAAGCATGCTGAGGAAGGTCAAGATAGGCATGCTTCATGCGGAGTGGCATGCTCCACTGCATAGGACACAGGTGAGGAGTATTGTCTAGATTTTTTCACCAGGAGACACCAGTGTGTTGGATAATGAACAGCCAGACAGACTGGCTGGCTCTGCACAACTTGGTGGAATACTGATGCATGATAAGGCAGACATGGTTAGTGCCTTGTGGGAGAGCATGTACAGTTTAGAGGAAGAGATGGATCACCAGTCTCGTGAGATTGATGCGGGGGGGGGGGGGGGGGGGGGGGGGGAGTGACGAGAGGTTTTGGCAGATGCTCAAGGCTCAGAGGAAAGGCAAGATGGACATTTAATCAGAATGCTACTGGCACCATTAGTATCGGAACTTTTCACTTGATGCTGAAGATGGGTACGGAGCGCTTATGGGGAATGCTCAGAGTGCTGTGATGTCGGTTCTTGAATCAAATCATTTCCCTTTAAAAATAATATAATCTATACTGTCATTAGTCTTCCACATCCCATCTAGAATTAATAATGAATTATAAATAGCTATAACATACATGTTGCATGAGAACTGAAAAAAGCATTAAACATTTAAAAGCACCACAAACTACTGAAAGAAAATGTACTTTCAGCATCAGTTTCAGAAACTGTATGACTGTCAAATGTGATAGATAAATAGTTGTTAACTTATAGGAGGGGAAGGGTGACACACAGATGGACAATTAAAAATAATATGAAGTGTCAACTAAAAAAAAAAAATTATTCCATAGGTATCAGTTAACATAAATGTGTATAAGTGCTACAGATGTCACTGACTGTAACATACATCTTCTTCTTATTCTTCTTTTGTTGGCTAAAAAAAAAAAAAGATAATCTATATCTGCAATGTTGTCTCTGGTGTGAAATTGAAACGTACATAATTTTAACTTGGAAACTGAGTGTGTGTGACTTTTTTGTTTTTTGAAGGAAATGTTATGACAAATACGCCACACATACAGAATCAGCCAGGTTTTGCTCAGATATAACGTAACTGAGATATTATAACAGTAGTTGTAACTACATGTGTACTGTTAACGCCAAATGTTGGACAACATATACCAACCCTGACATTCCACACTGTGTCAAGGGCTTCCGGTAGTGGAGCACATTAGGGATGATGCTAGCTTTACTCTAGAAAGAACAAATGCAACCTGGAAACTTAATGTTAAGTAAGCCAAGACCAGGCCTTTAGCCTTGATTGGCAGCTGGTCTAAGAGGGAAGCTCTGATAGGTAGACAAACAGAGCAATGCTCTTCTGGTGCAACAGCTTCTAAAGCATGCTTGGTTCCAGACTGGTGTTACTTTTCCTTTGAAATAAACAATGTGGGCTCAAAGAGAGATCCTGCCCTGCTGCATGGACAACACATAGTCTCTGACACCCTAGCCAGGATTTGTGCTATGGAAAGGTAACACATAGTCTCTGACACCGTAGCCAGGATTTGTGCTATGGAAAGGTAACACATCATCCTTGTCTCCCAGCTGAAACAAAACAACCATAACAAACTTGTGTTCTCAACAGTCTGCTGAAGGTTAGTGAAACTTGATCGACTGATATGTACCAGGAAATAAATTACTCAAAAGCTTTTATACGCAATGTCCAAGAAGAATACTTGGCATTAAGTGGTAAGACAAGATCATAAACATTAAGGTATTGGAAAAAGTAGGTATTATATGTTTTCTCAATGATTAGTCTTCAAAGGCTCAAATGGCTAAGAGACACTCGGAACGAGTTTGGCTCAGTCCCTAAGGAATGAATTACAGATAGACAGAAGATGAGGTCATCATCTACTACGATTTAAATTTGTGTGCAAGTGGGACATGAGTGAAAACAGGTACTGAGGTGAATCAGTAATCAGGTAGTGAGGTGGAATTATGGAAATAGGAATGCCATGAACTGTTTTGCATGGAAAAGGAAAATGGAGAGAACAAAGACAACAGGGGAAACAAATTACGGACGCTGAGATTCTGAGAAGAAACATGTTAAACACATGTGACGGCAACAGTGGTCCTGAAATTACTCATTCTTAACGTCAACATGTCTTGCTAGTTGTACTCACCATTGCCATGGGCTGTAATCCCCCATGTCTTCCTATAGTACAAGATAATTCAATTGTCTGGAAGATTACCAGTATAATGCCAAAGTTCAACAAAAGTGTTAAATATCCAACAAGAGAGGGTTTAAATGACTATTTCTATTTAATATCTGGTTATATTTGGTAACGTTTCTTTACAAAAAGTTGAATAAAGTAATGACTGAGGCTATTATCTATCTTCACCTATAACTCAACAGGAATAAAATAGTGAACTGAATTATGTAGCAACTTACTGTGGGGATGAGCCAACTATTGCATTGAACACTTTCTGTGTAATGTTCAAGAGATTCTGCTTGTTCTCCTCTATGTCTTCGTTTGGTTCAAGTCTGAAAAAAATCATTACATGAATGGTGTTTTAATTCTGTTGAGGTATTTATTTTTTCAATTATGTACCTCTTCAATCGTTTCTGAAAAAGAGTGATACACAGAACACCAGAGACTAAAATTCATACCACATGAAAGTGCGCATTGCATGCACACAAATGCGCATAAAAATATAGGTAAGGTAAGTTGATACCAGGTGATACAAAGTGCCACCATGTGGATGAGGATCATCCGTCGAGAGGTCCCAGAAACCCTCTTCAACTGTTAGGCCATATTTAAGGCCTCTGGCAAAAGCCAGTAGTAGTAGTAGTACATTTTACCCCACTTGGACATCACACAAGCGATAAACACTTGATGACACAAAGTGCTACCATGTGGATGAGGATCACCAGTGGTGAGGTCCCTGAAACAGCGTCCAGCCATTAGACCATATTTATGGCCGGGCTAAATTGCGTCCCCTGGCAAAAGCCAGGTTGGGGCTTTAAATTAACTAGAAATTGCATCCCACATGGGGAGGACTTTTAAAATTGCACATTAAAGTATAGAAAAAGAATGTGTTTTTTTTTTTAAGTAACACAGTTTTAATCTATACTATAAATCACAAACCCTTTCTGTATTTCATGTGTTAATTATAAAGAAAGTGTTAACTCCTCCCAAACTGACAAATATGAGAGTTACATTTTTATTTGCCATTATGACCATAATGTTTAATTTAACAATCAAATTGGTGGCCCAGGTTACTGTGCATTCCGTTATTAATTGCGACAATCAGCAAAAGTAAACTCTTGCTGAAGTTATATCCTTGCGAATACTTTTTCCTATAACATCTCTTGAAAATGTAAATTCTTAAATTATATTTCGTTGTTATCCTCCTTGAAATCACATATCTTTATGTGCCTGAGACAGTATATTTGCCTGACTCCCAAACTGTTAAACAGTAGTGTCAATATTATAGAGGATGCCTCTGGTGCACTTAGGGGCAATGACTAAAGATACAACAGCAACGGAGAGGAAGCAGGAAATGGGATATTAAATGCAGGGTTTTACTTAGACTTCTATTTCCACTAGGTCTACATACAGGGCAGCGGTGGATACCAAGATGCAGTAGAGGACGGGAGAATGGGTCTTTCTTTCACTATCCCGGGGGATGCCAGGTAATTAAATCTAGTGTGTTATAAAACATTTCAGATACTAACACTAGAAAAATAAGAAAAATAAGTAATCCCATGCCCCAGTTGGTATGGATATGCCTGCTTACCACAAAACTGTCCTCTAATGTAACACACAAGAATACATACATGAGCATCTATTCTTTAAGTTACAGCTATAAACTTCAAGACTTTATGTTTATCCAACATCTGTTGTTACAGTTTTTCATTCACTTCTTGACTTTCTTTTGTCAAACATTTGAAAGATACTGCCATTTGCTTCAAGACCTTCTGTGTAACCAACACCTGTCATCCAACACCTGTAAGTTACTGGCATTTAATACTTCTAGTTTACCACACATCAGCCATACACAAAGCATCAGCCTCCCAACATCTGCCAATAATGACCTTCTAGGCTTTCTACTGAGTTAACTTCTGCAAGACACTGACTGCCATTAACCTCAAGACTTTATGTAAATCCCAAAAAAAACTATTAATTCAATTTTGTCAGGAGGTGCATTAGGTGAACCCAGAATGTGCACTTTTCTTTGTAATAAAAAATCAAACTGGGAAACTTTAATAAACCCAATGACAAAACTAGTGTTTACCTTAATAGAATTTATCGACTACACTAGCCATTCAGACACCACATACTACATCCCCCCCCCCCCCCCCCCCCCCCTCCCCCAACCACCTCCAATCCCCAATACTCAAAACTTGTACAGGTACCAGATTTTCCAGTTTGAGTGATCAATTTTTGACCACACATAACCACATACAAAAGCTGAACAACAAAATTATGCAACCATCACATAATAGTTCCTGAAAAATGTCTAATATATGAATACTCTTGCAGGCTAAAATAGTTTTATGAAATAAACCTGATACCTGGCAGGATCAACTTCATAAGAGAGGGGATGATCGCTTCTCTCCACTTCAAACATGCCCAACAGCAAAGGGTTTAGAAGCTCTCTCAGGTACCACTGACCGTAGAAGCGGAAGCAGTAAGCCATGATCTTGCTGGCCAAGGAATTACCCCTGAAGAGTGTCTGCATACAATCTGCTATCTCTACTTCCTAGTGTGGAATAACACAGAACAGTATCAGCCGTGTATTTGGAAATATATTTATTAGAATGTTACTTTCCTAAAAAAGGGGGAGGGAGGTGGGGGGGAGAGAGAAGAGGGGTAGAGACGTAAAGAGGGAGTTCAGTAACGCTTTAGTATCTACAGTATGTATGCTTCGATAACTGCAAGACCTAGCAAGGGAGAAAGAATCAAAGACAATGTGAGATATAGTCAAGCTAGAAGGTCATACTAAACCAGAAATTCTGCACATAACTTGAACAAAGCATGATTAAAACTACAGTTCTTTCAACAATTCAGAAACATACTTGCAAGCCATTTTCTCAAAAAATGCCTAATAGATCGCAATGAGTTTTTAGAATATCCATGCCACAAAAATAGTGGCATCCATGCCACAAAAATAGTGGCATTCTCTAGGTCACAGATGCTCAGGATGCTGAAAATCAGCTACATTAGGCATTGTACCATTTTCTGAATCTACAAATCACACCACCACGTTGGTCACAGTCGAAAAAACATTCCAAATGAAATCGGCAGCTCACAGTGTCACACCATGCATTCAACTCAGAAGCTGGCCAACTAAACTATACCCAGTCTACAAATGGAGCAAAAATGCATCGAACACCATCCGACAGAAGCAAAAAATTTGCCTCGGCTCCAAACAGTGCCCCTGCGCAGCGTCCATTTTGACCGGAAGTTCACTCTGCCTTCAAATATGTGTCGTCAAAGCTGACTTTCTCTTTAGTAAGCCATGTCCTAATTTGACCTTTTGTATTTGATGTCGTTAGTACTTTGTCTTCCTCTGATATGGCATTATGATAGATGGCATTATCCATTACTAGGCATGAAGGTCTGTTCAGAATTGGAAAAAGATCATTCTCCATCCAGTGCCTGAAAATATGTCCATTCATTTCAGTGAGGTAGTCCTTACCATTCGTACTTTTTGACTGGAAAATAAGTCCATCATCATATATAAGGCCTTTTTCACTGCTTCCAGTATAAGTGAGTATAATGGGCTGGCCTTTGTTGCTTGGAATGTTTCTTTGTTCACCATTTACTGATTGCCATTCTTTAGCATAAGTATGGTGAGCATTCACCCATAATTTATCCAAACATACAACACCATAGCCTTGCCTCCGCCGCTCTTGAATCTGCCTCAGATATTTGCTTCGACTAGCAATCAAATGTGGCTTTTCTCAAATAATTTTCCTTCCACCTAGTTTTCCTGAAAGTGAACCCGGTGGCTCTTACCATTTTCCACAGACTACTTTCTGAAATGTCAATACTGTTGTACTGTGATTTCCATTTTAATTTCAGTTTTCGGAGAGTAAAAAGCTGATCTGTCCCTTACATTTTTAAGATCTCACGTCTAATGACATCTAAATCAAAGTAGTAAACTTTTCTTTTCCTTCCTTGCTTGATATGAGTGTGTCCTGTCTAATCAACCGGCTAAATGATGCTCTATCCAGACCAAGCGCCAATAGTGTTCGTTTCTCTGGATCATAAATACACAATATACATGACCCATCTTAGATTCCCTGAGGAAGTGCTGGTACAGTAAAACAGTAACCTTCTACATAGTTACAAATTTGCATCTTAACAGCATTTTGAAACTGATGTCTGTGTCGGTTTTCATAAGCTAGCTATATAACACAATAATTAACACTAATTGTGGATGTACCTTTGAATAAACAACCTAGACTGACGTCTTATTTTGGTTTCAGGTCACTAACAGTCTGTTTGCATAAGAAAATCGTGAAATTACGTAGGTTTTCTTTGACCCTCTGTTTAACCAATCACAGTGTGCATTACTGCCTGAAACTAATGAAAGTAAATTTTCTAAACGTCTACCAGGACGGTTTCATGATAAAAATATATATCGTAAAGAAGAAAAAAACCACATATGATGATCTACTTTAGTGACATCATGGATATTCTAAGGCTGCATGCAAACAATAATTGCGATCTAACAGGCAGTTTTCGAGAAAATGGCTTGCATATGTGTTTATGAACTGTTGAACATACTATAAATCTGTTTTCTACAAATAAAAGGGCATACAAAAGTGATTAACATTTTGACGATGACTAGCACAATGAAATATGTAACAGCATGCCAACTGTGAATTTAGATGTATCAAACTAACAAATGAAATCCCACTGTTGCTCTAAAATCAACTGCAGAACAAGTGCTTGTATGTTAAATGATAAGATCCAAACAATAATAGTTTGAAAAAAAAAAATTCTTGCATCAAGGGATGAAGTTTACATACTAAAAAAAAAAAATTTAATACAGAAACAATGGACATATCAAAGGAAAAGGTCACTAAGGTTTCTTTTTGTTTCTGCTGTCTTTGCTTACTGTGTAAGAATATCTAAATATTTGGTTTTAATTCACCATTATTTACATCCTAACTTTTATTACCTTTGTTCATGAACTCTAGTTTTAGCAGTTGTAGTTGTACTGTTGTTTCAGTCTGCCTTTTTCCTTTTCCTCCCATCAATTTTTTTCAATTGTTTCAGGCATTATCCACAATTTATGCTTACATTACCTTTTACCAAGGACTTTACACAAAATTCATTCAAAATTCCTTAAATTTATTCCTAGCAAACTTCAGTGCTGACCTACTAAGCTAACTGTTGGAGGATCTGGTATTTATTTGAGTCTGCAACTGAAAAGTTTTCCTTAATTTCTTCATCTGAGATATCCTTCATTATATTGGCTCTTATGATTTAAGATGTTATAAATCTCTTCGAGTTCAAAATTTATTTTACTAATCAACAGGCAGTGGTCTGTATATACATCTATAAGCCCAGAATGAGCAGTGTGTAGATGACAGCATCATCTACATCAGTGTTCTCATCTGATTTGAAATACTGCAATAGCTACCGAGGGAACTTGGCTATTTCCTCCTCAAATGTTAGCCCTACTTCTTTTTCATGTTTATCATTTCAGATTTTGTCAGATATTATTTTATTATATCCTTTTCCTTCATTACGCTTATTCAGATCTATCAATTTTTTTTATCATTTCCTTCATTACATTACCCTAACTCTCCTACTCATATGGAAATTTGTCTCTTTGTAGAACTCCATCTCTAATTCAGTCTTGCTGGTTATCACCATCTCCAGACAATCTTTTTAAATCCTATAACTAAAAAGCGGCAACTATAGTGTCGTTATTTCACACATTTCATGAGTAGGTTGGAATTCAACAGTATATATTTTAGTCACTGATATGTTATATTTTAAATGCGAATACAGTTGAGTCTGAATAAGTAGAAGTCGCAGCGACCTAAGAAAATGCTTCCACTTATCAGGACTTCTACTTATCCAGACAGTGCACACAGTAGAGAAAATTGACGGGACCAAGCTGGTCATGTCGACTTAACGGAAATTCGACTTATCCGAGTTCGACTTAAGTGGACTCGACTGTATTACATTTTTGTCCACAAGTCTTCTGTTTTTATAAAACTGCAGGCTTATTTTAAGTGAAACAGTGAAAGTGCTTTTGTAAGCTCTTTCTTCAAACTGAGTGCTCTGTAGCCGATAGTTTTAAAATCAAAAGCTGCTGACATTTATCCTATATCTGTTAATAATGCAAATTTTTACAATGTTAACTTTACCTTGGAGAACATATTCCACAACAGCTGATAGAGAAGTCTTTTGGCATCAAACAAGTTGACAAATACTCTCGCCAGCTCATCCATTTGTGAAACAGATACAACAGTCGCCAGGGCCATGGCAATTGGCAGCTCTCCTTTGTCACCAATCATAGTGACTAGCTCAACCAGTCGTTCAAATCGATCTGCCAGTGCAGTCTCAGCAAGTGTCTCAAACTCTGTGCCTTGTTGCAGGATTTTGGTCAGCACCTCCATGAATGCAGCTCTGGTCTGAGGGTCCTTATGGTAGCCAAGTGCTGCAAGACAGGTTTACAATGAAATGCAGCAGTTATGAAACAGAGATCACAACTCAACAATCCATTTGTTATTCTAGTTTTTAACAGATAAATTAGCTTAAACAGGGCCTTTTTTTTTTTTTTTAAGTCTTAACTCAGTATTGGTGCACAAAGGTCAAGAATTTCCGCCAGTTTCATAAAAAGTTTTTTTTATAGACCTTGAGGGGTATCTTGCATTTCCCGACTTTTCCCAGGTTTTAAGGCCTGCTATGAACCCTCTATACAAATCATGCACATGCAAATATCATGAAACAGAAAAGCTGACCTAATTGTCTTCTGATGTCAGTTTTGTGTCCTGACATAAAATGCAATCACTGACTGAGTTGTAAATAACACTTAACAAACAATATCCAAGTGTGAGTTACAAAGTTAACAGATTGTTCGTCATTAAAAACCAAAAAAAAGATATATTTTTTCAACACTTCATATCTGTGTGAAAAGACTTTCTCAGCCATGTCAGAAATAGAAACTTAAACTGAGAAATAGATTGAATGTTACTGCAGCACTTCATCTATCAGAATTAATGCTCAAGCCATGTACATATAAGCTACTCTAGCCACTGTGTAGCAGCAGATGTCACATTAGCTGAAAAATCTAACTTGGTGACACAGATTTACTAAATGAACTGCCATCTACATTTGCTTTTGTTTCCATATTTAGTTAACTGTCAGGTGGGCCACGAAACAATTTTCCTCATTTTGGTGGGCTGCGGATGTAAACAAGTTAAGAAACATTGATACAAGTGAATGGTGCGTTTAATCTTATAACATTTCTTACCTGCAACTAATGTTTTAAGATAACCTTACTTTTTATTTCTGAAAAAGTCAAACGAAAGCAAAACTGAGTGACTGAATTAACATTCAACCAGAAATGGTTGGTTTCCGCTGAGACAAGAGTATGGACAGCAAACTATAATTGAAATCCACATTATATTTCACTGAGATTATATTTCAAAATATTTTTCTGCATCAATCAATAAGCTGAAACTACAATGAAAACTTACCAATAGATTATATTTCAAAATATTTTCCTGCATCAATCAATAAGCTGAAACTACAATGAAAACTTACCAATAGAATGCATCAAGCCACTGTCGATGTTTGCATTTAGGAGGTTAGACATGGCTTGAACAGTGCAGTTTCTGAGAGCACTCAAATTACTCATGCTGCGTTTACGATTGGGATCCATTGCTTTATCTTGCTCTTCATCAGAACAGTCATTCAGAAGGTTCATGAACAAGGTTAGATACCTAGGGAAACATGGCCATTCTCTTCAGTTTTAAAATAAATTGTCTTCTCTAACAGTTAAAATACAAAATCAAAGTTAAGGGAGATCCTACCCTTGCTGTTTCTCATCTTCTTTACATTCATCCTCACATCTCATACAATGCTGCTGTCTACTGATTATTTAAAAATATAAGCAATAAAACATAAACACTGAATGAGTGTGGTTAGACAAAGACCATGTGAACAAACTATAATTGTGACTGCTTTTGTTTTTATTTTTTTGCAGTCAGCACGGAGAAATCAATGCTTTCCCCAATTTAGTCAAAATGTTGTTAGTTTAACAGCTGGCTTGACTAATGCTAAATGTAATGACATAGTGATATATTCCATGTTTTCTGGAATGTACTGGAATTATTTCTAAAGTTCCCAGAAGAAACAGTCTTGCAAGAAAGCTGCTCAATCACAATAATGAAGTTTTGCACAGCAGAAATTTACAGTCAGATAGCAACAACTAAGTTTTGTGATTGTTAAGCTTTACTTCTAATTTGTCTCACTGGTTTATGAATCCTGACTTAGAGGGAATTATGAGATGTTAATATGAAGTATAATAATTTTGAGTAGTTGCATGCATGCATGCGTGTACATTAGAGGAAGGAAGGGAAGAACTTAAAGATGGAGGTACAGGGAGAGAGGTGAGAAGGGAACGGAAGGAAGAAAGCAAGGAGGGAGGTGTAGGGAGAGAGTGTAGTAAGATCCAGAGGGATAAAGAGATAACTGAAATGACAAAGCAGAAGCTCAAGTATCAATGATGATTCCTGCAGGCCTGTGTGGTCTCTGTAAACTGTTCTAATTGCTTGGTGCATTTTCATATTCAACAAAATCACCCAGAAACACTTTTAAAAAAAAACAAAACAACTAGGGAATACTCAAAATCCTTTTTAAAAAAATAGGTCACTAAGAAGTTATTATAAAATTCTTTTACATAGACTTTTTAAAAAAACAATTCTTTTTGGATTACCCTAAACATTACCTAAAAATATAATCACACCCAGCCCGCCTGCACACTATGAAGTTGCAACTAGTACTAAAGCTGATATACAGACAAACTGGCAACTGCTTAAAGATATTATCAAAAACCTGTACAAAGTTAGAGAACCTGCTTTCTCAGGGTGACAAGAGTTAACACAAAGTAAGGAATAATACAATTTAAAATCTGTCTTACTTGAGAAAAAGCTGTGACTTTGCCTCCATGAGATCTCCGCGGTCACTCTCTTCTGGCTGGAGTGGTAAACCTGCCAAAAGAGCTGCTACAGCTTCCATGCTGGCTTGATCCAGATCGCTGGCAGACAGTAATAACTTTTGCTAACTAATTCATCACTAAAGTCTCACAATGAAAACTTGTCTGACCTGGGTGTGCTAAGTTTCACCAGAGTTGTGCAACTTCTTTCAATCATTCCAAGCCCAAGTTTATTGTAATGATTAAAAAAGCTGTGATTATATGAAAGCATTTATTATATTCCATGATATTCCGTACTGAAATATTTTTGAAGTATAATCACATGAACTTTTTCAGCAAAACCGTAAAATGTAACAGTGCCTGTAGTGACTATTTATTATTTAGTTAGTTGCGTATCCTTAACAGGACATTGCAGAACCAACCCCAGCATTTTTTTTTGGGCTGTTGTGGTTTTTTTTAGGCAAATTTACGTCCAGTAGTCTGCCATTGCTTTCTGGACGGTCGTCTTCTTGATACCACTGTCGAAACCAACGCAAGGCACAAAGCCCGCAGCTGGAATCAAACTTGACACCCCAGCATTTCAAAGCGCACTCGCAACGCCTAAGCCACAGAGGCTAACTGTATAATGTGTAAAATTAGAATCTGTTATCTCTATACATGTGATGTGTGACAGCCTATAACTGGCCAAGATATTGCAATCTTCAGCAGATTTAAAAAACAAAGACAATAAATTTAGTAACGCATGTGCATTGATTTCTGCTTCAATCTCACAAAAACTTATTCTGAAACTTTTAAAATGTTGCAAACAACTCTTGGAGGGATGATCCGTGCAAAGCAGACTACATAGATAAGAACACACAATCATGACAATGTTTTTGCTCAGAGATACGTTATCACAAAAGAATCTTGACAACATACAGACACCTTTTCCGGGTGGACGACAGCCCTAATTTCTGTACACCACTCTGTCACTTTGTCTACAGTTGCTTGTAGCTCCCGGGCTGTTTGTTCCCTCTCTTACCCCTGCCTATATGCAAGTAAATTATCCACAAAAGTTAGTATTCTTCCAACTCCTGGAGCTTCTAGGCTTGCAATCTTGCTCGTATACACATTAAAGAGCACAGGCGAGATGGCGGATCCCTGTGGCAGTCCTGGGACCAAACTGCATGGTTCTGACTGAGGTCCATGGGCCCAGTCAGAGAACAACCCGATGTGAATACAGGACACCTGTAACCCAATTCACCAGCCATGGACTGACCTCCTTCTCCTTCAGTGCTGTCATCAAGGTGTCGTATCTTACTCTGTTATAAGCATCCTCGAGATCCAGTGCTACCGCCATAGTTTTCTGTCTGATCTGGAACTCTTCATAGAAGTCAAAAGCAAAAGTGGCCCCATTTGCCCATGTGTCCTTTCCTGGCCTGCAGCTTCCCAGACCTCTTGGGAGAAGCTTCCCCCTTTCCAAAAATTCTTGCAGCTTTACAGCAACTATCTTCTCCAAGACCTTCCCAAATGTGTTTTGTAAGGTGATGATTCTAAAGCCAATGAGCTCTGAACGACCCTTAAAAGGTTTCGGCAGTGGGATTAAAGCAGTTGGTCATCTCTGCCAGGTCTACATCGCTCAAAGCCTTCATGTGGCCATTCCTGACCCCCATCAGGACCTGGTGCAGTGTTTTTTGCCATTTTCAAAATTTGTTTGATATCTTCTACTCGTATCATGTCTTTATAATGCATAACATCCTTCTTTACAATAGAACACTATTTTTGTTAGCTCAACTAGTCATCATATGCCAATGTGAATTCTTTATCACTGGCAAATTGAATTCCTTTTATCTGTTTTTTTAATGTTTGGGAAAAAGAAAAATGCCTCAGGCTTCTAAATTTAGTGAAAATGGCCATGAGGTAGAACTGCAGTAGTCAAATTGTTGGTCGTTAGCTGCACGATCCATGCTTTGTCAGAGGCAATGTGGTCTTGAAGCAAAGAGAGATTTTGAGTGCCTTGTTTTCTTGCCACAACTTTTCTAAGTTTTGTAAGGAGACCTGAATAACCCATTAACAGTCTCCCCTCAAGGCAGGTATTCTTTTAAAATAAAACTTTGACATCCAAAAACACACACAAAAACTATCAGCATCAGCTTCCCTGCACATTTCAATTTCAGTGCTCCTTGTTTGTCAGGTGTTAGGGAACCTGGAGTTTTCCAGTGCGTTCTGACAATTTTATATTTTTTTGTTGAATAGTGAACCCAAGTCTCATCTCCTGTCACCACAGTCATCAAAATGTTTTCTGACAGACTCTTGTTGAGTAACTGTCAACAGCACGTTAATCTAATTCTGCCTTCTTTTCACATGACAGCAGGCATGGCACCCAGTGGGAGTACACATTTGTGATGTTCAGTCTGTTATGTAAACTTTTAGCAGCTGTTCTTTTACTCAGTTTCACTGCGCTAGAAATGTCCTCAGTTGTGATTTTTCCATTTGGACGATGATTTGCCTTCACTTTTTCTGTATTTTACTCTGTGTATTCTTAGGACAGTCTTCTACATCTTGGCATATCACCACCATTTGTGCCACACATTCTTTAACTGCCTACACCAATTGTTTACCAAAGCAAACAAGGGAAAGGATTTCTGAAACACCGGCTCCATCTCCCTGTGCATTTCTGTTAGTGTTTGACCCTGCAAGATCAGGAATTATCACAGCTGTGGCCATCTGATGGCCCTATTGGTGGTGCGCTAAGTCCCATAAGAGAAAAACGTGTCAAAGGATCAGCTGCAATCTTCTCACAGTTTGTTACAATATAATGAGCTACAAACATGCCAACTTTCAATTGTTTCCTTTTACTCCTTCATACAGGATGAGTATTTATGCTCCACCAGCCGTATTACAGTTGTTCATCCCATCTGTGAATACATGGTGTCAACATTTCTTATCAAAGCCCACTAACACGCAGAATCAATGCGACCACCTGACAGACTCAACACTCAAGTTTCTATTTTACTAAGCTTCAGCTGCAGCTTGGTTTTTAACAAGACAGAGAGCAAAAGAAAACAAGTTTCATACCGGGACATGCTACAGATGTCCCCCTGCACATTCACTTGATGAGAATTTCCCATGATCCAGTCAGTCAAATATTCCACTAATTTGTTGCGAAACTTCATTTCCTGTCGAAATGTCAACTCATCTCGTCTCTGCATCATCTGATGATACAAAAACACACACATAAAAGAATGTAATATATATATATATATATATATATATATATATATATATATATATATATATATATATATATATATATATATATATATATATATATATATATATATATATATATATATATATATATATATATATATATATATATATATATATATATATATATATATATATATATATATATATATATTATACATTTACACATACATTTATATACACACACACACACACATACAAAAAATATTTATAAGGCAACATACCTGTAAAGTCTAATATTGTGTAAACTTGTGTCCAGTCTCCTTGGTTTTGTTTGTTTGTTTGCTTTTTAAAAGCTCTGTTGACTCGTACGTTGAGTTTTCACTAAACTCTGTTGTCTTCTCTGTTAAGTTTTCCAGTCACCTTGGGCCTTTTTCTTTTTAAAAAAAGCTCTGTTGTCTTTTCCATTGAGTTTTCTAGTCTTCTTGTGTATTTTTTTAAGAAGCTCTGTTGTCATGTCCGTTGAGTTTTCCAGTCACATTGTATGTTGTAATTGTTACTCCCATTGATAATGACTTTGGTCTAAATGTTTTGGTGTATCTGTACACACTGTTTCGAGATCGAGAGAGAGATCAAGAGAGAGAGAGACAGAGAGAGAGAGAGAGAGAGAGACAGAGAGAGAGAGGGGGGGAGAGGGGGGAAGAGAGAGAGAGGGAGGGAGGGGGAGAGAGAGAGGGAGGGGGAGAGAGAGAGAGGGAGGGGGGAAGAGAGGGAGGGAGAGAGAGAGGGAGAGAGAGACACAGAGAGAGAGAGACGGACAGAGAGAGAGAGAGAGATGATTTACTTGTCCTCGTTTTTTTATTTTTAGCAGAACATTTTGCTTGGTAGAAATGAGTGAAACAATAAACCAAAATTACCTTTCTTTTTTATAAAAGCCTATCCAACTATAAATTTTGTGAAAACCATGTTCAGACAACAGCATAGTCAGCCAGTTTAGGATTAGATTTCAAGTAGAAGATAGTTACTTAATATTTTTATTTTAAAGCTCATGATCACCTTACATTGTGAACAGATTACTCTGAAAATTTACCCCATGATTTCTCATCCAAATACTTTCTGATAAAAGAAATTAGATAATTAAATTCTATCTATATTTTCAATCTTTCTGCAATTGATTAGGCCTTGCCAAATTTTCATATAGCCATGACCACCAGTGAACAAATACACTTCAAACAGGATTCATTACATTATCAACACAGTTTTAAATATCAAACAGTGAATCTCATTAGTTAAGATGTTTTAAAATGATAAATACTTACCGCTTCCACCAGCTGACACAGTTTTGTCTTGATCTGAATGGCATGGACTGATGAATCCAGGTAACGTACATACCTGTCAAATTATAGCTAATGTACTCATCTTGCTATAAATGAACTCAGAATACATCAGTAATTAACTGACCAATACTGTGGTACTAGACCTGAAGGTTTACAATAGACGGATAGTAAAAGAATGAAACTCATGTATGCATGCATTAAACTATGTCAAAGAATACACTGTTTATGTTGCAGGATTTTCAAAGTCTAAACAGTACTGAAATAGATAATTTTATTTCAAGGTCATGTAAAACTGAGTGGTAACATGTAAGTAAGATACATGTTGAATGCACCCTGGCCTATGATACATGACAAGCAGAGACATTCTTGGTGTCTCAGGCTCTTTTTGTAAATGATGAAAACCCACTTTACATCAATCACCAGTGGGTATGTGGGAATGTTTTAGATTAGGAAATATATCTGGATGCAGCTATGTAAAAAAATTAGTTGTGTATCCTTTACAGGACGTTGCAGAACCAACCCCAGCACTTTTTGGCTGTTGTGGTTTTTCTAGGCAAATTTACTTCCAGTAGTTTGTCATTGCTTTCTGGACTATCGGCTCTCGGTACCACGATCGAAACCATCGCCAAGACAAACCGTCCGCAGCAGGGATCGAACCTGGGACCCCGGCATTACAAAGCGCGTTCACAATGCCTAAGCCACAGACGCGGACGGATGCAGCTAAGCTGCTTTTAAAATATACAGAAAAAATATTCTTCAGTGATGTAAGGGTATAAACACCTTTGTCTATCACTTTTATCCACTGCAGAAAAATTTGAGAAAACAAACTGCCAGTGTACTACAGAACTAAGTCCAAGCAAAAATATATCAACAGTTAAATTATTTCTTGATTAATATATGCACTAACTGATTCCTATGTAGTGAAGTATTTGCATACTTTAACAAATAAATAGCAATACATAAATGTCTATTAGAAGAAAAAAACATGAGTGTTTTTAACTGTTAAAAGTTTTCATGAAAACAGTCTGTTACACAATGTTTTCAGCATATAGTAGTTATTTTTATAGTAACTTACAACAAATGAAAGTTAAAACTAATATCCTTGTTTTAAACTATTTTATATGGATCTGAGAAACAAAACTAAACAGTGTTATAGCAGTTATCAAAGACATGCAAAGAGACATGATGAATTCCAACAGAACACTATTTTTGGCCAGACAAAAAACAAAATTGCCCAGGAAAACAAACTGATCCAGAATAACTTTTCTTAGGTAGCAAATGAAAAGTAGCAATAAAAGAAGATACAGATACATGAAATGATCCTCTTACTTGACTATGGACAACATGAGTTGCTCAATACTTGTTACACCCAGATATTCACATGGTTGGTCTTGTTTCATTTCCAAAATATTTTTCATGATGAAGATGACATTTTCTATCAACAACGTGCTTTGTGGTGAGTCCACAACCTGTAAGATAAACATGTGAAAAATGTGTGTTATGATTCAAGCTGTCTCTTTCACATGCAAGTAATGAAGTTAAATAATAGTTTCTATCATAAGGGAAACCATTCACATCTTTTCTTTACAAAATTGTTACTCTTAGCTTCCAAACTACTAGTGAATCAGTAATAATCTTCAAACACCTATCATTAAGTCTTAGCTCAGATCTCATGCAGTAAATTTTGCACTTTTACATGTACATATTCAATAAACAATGTTATAGCTAGGGTTAGCTCAGAAAATATTATTATTGCATTTAATTATATATTTTAGACACAAAAACAAATACTAAATTTGACAGAACGAACGAACGAACGAACGAACGAATGAACGAACTTTATTTTCAAAGGGTTACAAATTAGGCACGCAGGCCTGTCTTACATTCGGCCCTTCCAAACTTCCATCTTTCGCACAGCAGTTGTATTTCATCAACGAAGCATGTTATATTTATGTAATAATTTGCATATTATATATATAAAGTCAAAAACAAAAGCATGGGTGGTAAAATATGTGAGCACGCTCACGCGTGAACACACACACCCACATACACACACAAGGCAAATCACTCACTTACACACAAACACATAGGCACCCAGTACACACATGCATCTACATACATACGAACATGCACATCCATCCATCCATCCATCCATCCATCCATCCATCCATCCATACATACATACATACATACATACATACATACATACATACATACATACAAACTCACATAATACATACACACACACACATACATACAAACTCACATACATACATACATACATAAAAACATATATAAAAAGATGAACATACAAATACACGCGAAACAACACACAGAGAAACGCAGCCACAGACACACGCAGACATAGACACACAGACACACGCAGAAACACCCACAGACACAGCATAGATACACACAAACAGACAGACACACATACACAGACAAAAGGCAGCCAAGTCACACCCACACGTATCCACATACAATCACACACACACGCCCCCACACATACAGATAGACATTTTTAAAAAAAAACACACACACACACACACAGACACACAACACAGACTGACACGCACACTGACACGCAGACAGACACACACACAGACACGCACGAAGACACCATACAGACAAACAGACACACTCACAGACACACGCCTACACACAGATACATACACACAAACGTATACAGTTACCCATGCATACACATAATCATACATACACAAATACGCCTACACACGCCTGCATGTCACACATATACCCATACAAACATATCATACGTATTGCAATTAATTATAACTAGTAATGCATTGTGGATTATTAACTACATTTAAGGTGGCATGTAATCACTGATAATCATGTAATGAAAGAGTTTGCGGTTAAATGAGTAAGGACTTTTTGTAGTTTTCAGATCGAGTGGAAGATGGTTCCATAAATGAGCAGCAGAATATGATAGACTTGTTTTAAATAAATCAATTCTGGGTTTAGGCAAATGCAATAAACCTAGTCGCTTGCTATTCTTAGGATTAGATTGAATAAATCGGTCGATGTAATTTGGAGTATCTTTAGATAGGATTTTATGAATAAATTTGGCCTTATTAAAAATTAAACGATTACTAAATGGCAGAAGCCTTAGATGTCCATATAAAAGATTTTTCTCGACGTAGTTTCTATCGGAAACTAGGCGTAAGGCCCTATTTTGTAGAGAACTCAGCCGTTTGACATTAGATTGGGAGCAGCCATCCCAAATTGTGGAACAATAGTCAATATGCGTTTGAATGTAGGATACGTAAAATATTTTACGTGTATTTTCGTCCAGAAAGTGCTGAATTTTTCCAAGTTGATATACTTTTTGTGCTACTTTTTTGGTCATGGCATAAACATGGGAACTCCAAGTTAGATGGCTGTCAATTAAAACACCTAATGTTTTGTGTTCAACTACATTAACAATAGGTAGCTTGTCGATGAAGAGCTCAAGCGGTGGCTTGTGTACAGCTAATGACATACTAAGGAGTGTAAAAACGAACTTTTTTTCAAAAATTGTCGACATAACCCAAATTTACTGTTTGGAACACCAGCACATTGCCTTAAACACTTTGCCATGGAGACCCCCAACCCATGGTATGGAGGATAAGAAATCTGCATTTTAAATGTAGCATATGAAACAGGATGAGGAAGTATATGAAGACGGTGATTCATCATCAGACACAGACATGGACAAGCTAAAGAACTATCACAATGATGACAGTAATAAGGTGTTTTCTAGATTCTTTGATGAATAAAACCTAAGTTCAATAACTCTATGTAATCATATACAGCCAAAAAGAGCAACCAAGAGGTTTTGAAGGTGGCGGGAGCCCGAAGACAACTTATCACAGACATCAGAAGGAGACAGTCAGCATTTTTCGGCCATGTTATGAGAAGAGGGAAAATAGAACATGTTGTGACCACTGGAAAGATCTGTGGAAGGAGGGACAGAGAAAGACAACGAGAGAAGATTCTTGACAGTCTTGTTGCATGGCATGGAGGTGTGTCGGCACACGAACTGATGCATGCTGCAGGAGATTGTGGATTATGAAGAGGCATGATCGCCCATGCCAGTCGGCAAGGCACCTGATGATGATGATAGTTTTCTTTTTTTTAAATGTCTGATCCCAAATCAAGGTGTGTCTTATATATGGGATTGTCTGATACTTGGGGAAATAGGATAATAATTAACAATATTTCCAGACTTACCTGCCCGGCAGGATCAAAGTATTTGTCAACACAAATTTTAATCTGATCAAACAGAATCGGATACAGTGCTGGATTGAGCTCATGACCAACCAATTCTTTCACATGTTTCTGTATCTGGGCACCAAATCTTTCGTTCTGGAACACTAACAGCTTCAAAAGGTTGCCCAGGAACCTAGAAAATTATAAATCCACAGTAAGATTAACTTACCAGAAAAACCAAAGCAAGAACATGCAGCATAGATCACATGTACAACACAAACTTTTTAAAACATCTGGTGTTTCCTTTAAAAACACAACTGCATTCTTAAAACTATTGAGCTTGCTGTTATTTTATGTCAATTCTGATCATATCAGTTGAAGTATACTTTAAAAATAAACAAACTCATAATTATTTGATGGCGCTTTACAACTCGAATAATAATTTTTTTTTTTAATTCTTTTTAACTCATATCTAATGAAAGGACAATAATTTTGTCATTATTCAGATATTCAAAATCTCCATAATTTTATGAAGAATACAGGAAGGTAAGAATACACTATGGTTCAACCAGTCAACTGACAATTCTTTTGCATCTGGGTCATTGATAGTATATAGGTGTTTGGGCTTTCCTGTCAACTACGTGCCATCAGATAACTATTCGGTTTTTTTTTAAATTTCTGAACAGGAAACACCATCAGATATCAACACGTTTATTTTTCTGAAGAGTATATTTTAGGCATTTGCAAACCATTATACAAAATAAAAACTAGTGCAAAATAGGCAATGTAAATGTTTACATGAATAAAAACTTACTTTAAGAAGATTTGATAAAAATGATTACAGGTAAATCATAAATGATTTTACTGACCATACTGGCTCATGAACTACAGTTGGTAAATTAAAAAGGTTTTTTGTGCGTTTTTTTTTTTTTTTCAACCTGTAACCATTAAGATGCTTTTTATTTTAATTCACGAATATATATGCATGCATCCACTTCCTTTCTACATTTATATTACTATGACTGGATACACCGGTTAATAGATCTGCTGTCTTTTTTTTTCTTTAGCTCAGCCAGGGTTCATAGCCAAATTTACCAATCAATTTCAAGGCTTTTCAAGGTCTTTTTCAAGGTCTCCTTAGTTTTTTTCAAGGTTGTCTCGGTGTAATACTGAAACAAGATTTTTGCCTTGTTCAAGGGTGTACTGAGCACACAAGGTACTTCATTTGTGCCACATGCGTTGGTATACCAGCACAGATATCATCATCATGTAGCATTTCCTTTGTCAATCTCTCACCAGCTCTCCCGCATCATGTACTTTTTATACTCAAGGAGTCACTTATATCCTGTGTCTTCGTGTTGGTCGGCCCCTGAGCTTGAATTAGTGTTTGAAATTTTTTTTAGGGCTTGGTGGTAGAGGGCAGCAAACTGAAGTCCTGTCTGTTCTGGACCTGGTACCTGAGAGGGTTAGGGGAGAGAGAGAGAGTCATGAAGAGAGAGGAAGACACATGCTGAGGTAGGCTGGCAGAGACAGTGTAAAGATGGACAGATGAAGGTAGAGAAAAGAAGTCTGGGGAAGGAGGAAAAAATGAGAGGGAGGGATGGAGACATGATGAGGAAAAGTGGGGAAGGGACAGCGAAAGACAGAGAGGGAGACAAATATAGAAAGAGGGAATGCAGATACAGAGATGGGCAGATGAAAAGAGAAGGAAAAAGGGAACGAAACAGAGATATGGAAGGAGGAAAATATGACAAAGAGTTGAAAGAAGGGAGACAGAGGGAGAGAGAACGGACAGGGCGAGAAGCAGATGCAAGCAGAGAGAGATGTAGACATAAAGGAGAGAGAGACAAAGGGACAGCACAGAGAGGCAAGCAGACAGAGGGAGAGAACCAAAGAAAGAGAAAAAAGGCAGAGCAGGAGAATGGGAGGGAGGTATACAAAGAGGAAGTGATGAAGGGAGGCAAACAGACATAAAGAGAGAGAGAGAGAGAGGTGGGTAAGGAAGGCAGTGACAAACACAGATTAAGAGAGAGGGGCAGGAAGGTTGACAAGATACATTAAAGAAAAAAAACAGCCACCTACTCCCCCCCCCCCCCCCCCCCCCACAATTTCAAGTGTAGTGGACACAACCACTAGGAAAAGATAGTTATGGGGCAAAGAATACGTAGATGAACCAGTAAAAAAAATGGGGGGGGGGGGGGGGGGAAGAGAGAGGGGAGCGGGTAAGGAAATCTAGAGAAAATGAAAAGACAGGATGGAGAGGAGACAAAGAAGAGATGGGACAGGAGAAAGGGCAAGGAAAGGAAGAGAGGAAGAATGGAGAGAGAAAGGAGAATAGTAGAAGATCAAAGGAAAGAGAAGGGGTGAGAGAAGAAAGGTAAGACACGGTTGTGGGGGGGGGGGGGGGGGTGTAAGAACAATGAGTGCCAAAAATAGAATTAGGAAATCTCTAAGTGAGGCCACTTTTCCGGTTCCTACCCTCTCCCAATGTGAATGTGGCCGTGGTCCAAAAACAACAGTGCTAACCCCTACTGCCCCTTGCTTGTCCTATCTGTGTGTGACAACAATAATTCAATTTCTTACACTTAAGGCTGGTGACCTGAGAGCCAAGGTCATTTTATGAAGAAAAAAAAAGTCCAGGGGATCCCAACCCACCTTCTTCTTCTTCTTCACTTCCTCTTTTACCGCTGTGGGTGTCGAGGGAGATATAAGGTTCTGTTTCTAGCTCTTCTGGCTGCCTCGACCATAGGCACATCGTGCTGTTGTAGAGTTTCTCTGATGTTATCCTTCCATCTTGTTTTTGGTCTACCCCGTGCTCTACGTCCTTCTTCTCTTCCCATGTATGCTTTGAATGGTATGGTGTCACAAGGCATTCTCTCTAAGTGGGCAATCCATTTTACTTGCTGTCTTTGTATGTAATCCAGAATTGGTTCTGTGCCGACTTGTTCTCTTATGATCTCATTTCTGATCTTATCTCTTATGGTCACTCCTGCAGCCCTTCTCAGACATCTCATTTCCGTGGTTACTAATTTTCTTTTATGGTTTGTTGTGAGTGACCATGTCTGGCACTGGTAGCACAGAGTTGGAATAAATATGCTTTGAATAAGATGTCTCTTTGTGCTGACTGGGATTGTCTTATGCTGTAAGAGGGGGGCTAGCTGTCCCAATACTTGGTTTGCTTTACTGCATCTAATGTCAATTTCTTTATCCAATTTCCCATCTTCGGTAAATGTAGTTCCCAGATATTTAAACTCAGATGCCTGTTTAATGCCTTTGTATTCTATTGTTATGTTTAGATCTGTCTTCTTTTTTCCTATTGACATTACTTCTGTCTTTTCAGTGTTGATTTTCATATTATTTGTTTTACATTCTTCATTCATGGATGTTAGATGTTGTTGCAATTTCATGGCTGTATCTGCTATCAAGGCCTGGTCATCTGCAAAGAGTAATTCGTTGATCTTACTAAGATCTTCATTCATAGGCTTGGCATTCTTGCATATACTGTCGATGTAGGTGATAAACAGCAGTGGTGATAAGACACATCCCTGTCTTACTCCAGATGTCACTGTGAAAGGATGAGATGTTCCCTGATTTATTCTAACTACACTTCTACAATCCCTGTATAAACTTTTGCACACTTCGATGAGGTGTTCGCTTACTCCATATCTTGACATTATTTTCCATAATAATTGTCTGTCGACTCTGGTGGAAAATAGAGAAGTTTACCCACACACATAAATAGGTCAGACACATAAATAGGTCAGGGCAGCAGTGGACTTCGTTTTATTTCTGGTTTTCCAATTACAGAAAGGAGGGGAGAGAGGAGGTGGTGGAAAGTGGTGTAGAAGGCTGAGGTGGTAAGGGTGAGACAGAGGAGGTGAGAGAATAAAGTTTAAGAAAATAAAGTGGGAATGAGACAGGGAGAGAAAGAAGGGAGTAAGAAATAAGATGAGATATAGAGGGAAGAAGGTAGCAAGAAGGGGTGCACCGCCTCCCCTAGGTGTCATCAATGTGGGAGGAGAAAGAGGGGGGGGGGAGGGGGGGGGGGGGTGACGGCAAATGTGTTTTTAAAAAGTACACATATATTTAATGTGTGGGAGGGGGGAATGGTGGACATGAAATGTTCTGCACTAGGCAACACATAACCTTCTACACCAACTGAAGGTATGGAGAGAGAGAGAGAGAGAGAGAGAGAGAGAGAGAGAGAGAGAGAGAGAGAGGAGAGAGAGAGAGAGAGAGAGAGAGAGAGAGAGAGAGAGAGAGAGAGAGAGAGAGAGAGAGAGAGAGAGAGAGAGGAGAGAGAGAGAGAGAGAGAGAGAGAGAGAGAGAGAGAGAGACGAGGCAGACGAGAGAGAGAGAGAGAGGAGGGAGTGAGGGAGAGAGTGGCAAATACAAAGAGAAAGAGGAAAGCAGCGACAGCGACAGAGGGGATCAGGCAGAGAGTGAGGAAACAGGTAGGACAAAAAATGTGAGGGGGCGGGAAAGAGAGATGGACAGAGATTAAGGCCGCTAGGAAAACAAAAAACACATCAAAAGAAAATATCCACCATGTTCACACAGAATGCCCCCCCCCCCCCCCCCCCCCCCCCCCACAATACAACTTCCTGTGTACTTGAGTTGCTAGGAAGAGTTATGGAGCCGCACATTTACTAAACATTTAAACAAGAAATAAAATAGGAAAAAGGGGAGGGGGGGGGGGGACAGGAAATGAGAGAGTAAAAGGAAAGATAGAGAGAAAGAGAAGAAGATGAAGATCAGAAGGGAGGGTTAGAGACAATGCAGGAGACGGGAAGGAAGGGGCAATAGGCAGAAGAGTGAAAGAGGGAGGGAAGAGAGAGAGAGGGGTGAGACAACAGAAGAGGGAATCTCGGGGAATTACAATACTGATCGCCAAACACACTATAAAGATAAATCCAGGCCAAAAATAGAACTGGGAAATCCAGCTGCAGTCACTTTGCTTAGCCCCAATGCCATCTCTAATTAATAGAGAAGGCCGTGCTTAGCCCCCACCACGGCGACTCTATAAATACAACTGAACCGAGCCCCACCATCTCCCAATGTAATCCTTTCTAGAAACCACGGCCATAAACGATTTAAACTGTTCATTCTGCCCGACTTGCTAGAAACAAAGGCACACACACACACGAGATGGAAGCTGCTCCTTCCCGCCCCATGCCACACCGCTGCTGTCTGCATGTATTCATGATCTGCAACAAAGCCCGCCCTCCCCTGGCCTTTAACAAGCCATTTCGGCTGAAAAAAGCCAATAATCAGCTGCCCTCACACCTGAAACGACCATACAACGAAAGTAGCCAAAAACTAGCCAAATGGCCAAAAAAGCCAAATGGCTCCCCCAAAATTGCCTGTGCTGAAAAACACAGGATTTCTCATTGCCGCGATTTCATTGCCGCGGTCAAAATTCACGGCTTTTCAAGGTCGGAATGTCTTTTATAAGCTAAAAATCACGGTTCAAGGTCAACGAAAAAAATCCCGGTAATTTCCCGATTTCCCGATCCACTACGAACCCTGCTCAGCACTGGAATATACCAAGAAACAGCCCCATACAGAGAAGGATAATCACCTGCACCACTTGTATGGCATTTGATGGTGATGATTTACATCCAGATAACATTTCATCTGATGTCATCATGCATTCAGTCATCCTCTTATCTGAAGTGCTGGTTTTTGCAATTTCAAATTTGTTGCATGAAACAGATTATGACATACTGAGATTTCATAGAACAAAATATATAACAATACAGTTGTGTCCACTGAAGTAAAACTCTGATAAGACAAATTTAGCTTAGTCCCAGCTGTTTCCCTTCTTTGTCTTTGTATACAAAATCCTGATAAGTTGAATTATGTTAATTCAAACACTCGGATTAGTCTAATCTTAAAATAAAAACTGACGACTTTATACGCATTTATGTTTTTAATTTTAAGAATCCAGAAACGATGAGTTGCTAACTATGGATATCACAACCCTTCGGCCTTGATTCCATGATAGATACCGTAAATCTGGGAGAAATGTGGTTCAACATTTTTACATGCTCCGTTTTATGATAAGCATTAGAATGTTCGATGAAAAAAGCGAGCTGTATAAGAAAAGGAAACTACTGCAGCCTGTGGATACACAATAACAGTCGCCCATGGCATGATAGCGGTCGTCTCACAAGCAGTCGCTTCTAGGTTCACACTGGGAGGAGGTGGGTTATGGCAAAGTGACATCACTTAGATTTGCCAATTACATTTTTGGCACGGCTCGCATTTACAGTGCATTTGGGCAATGCTGTCTTCAAAACTGGCGATGAGGGTTCTAACTTCCCTAGTATCTTCTTTTCTGCTCTTAATCCTTTCCTCTTTCACTTGTCAACTTCTTTTCTCTTATCTCCTTTCTCTTCCTCCCTCTTCTTATCCTCTACCTTCCCTTTCTACCCTCACTCTCTTCTGCCCCTCTCTGTCTCTTCTTCCTGTTTCCTCTCTCTCCATCTTTTCTGCTATCTTCATCTCCCTCCCTGAGTCTTCCCTTATGCTCTTTCTCTCTCATTCTTCTCCTTCGTTTCTTCTTTATCTTTTTTTTTTATCTCCCTGATCCTTTTCTGGTTTACTAAATTTACTGCCCAATAACTTTTTTTTTCTGTGGTTGTGTCTAGTACACAAGAAACTGTGTTATGGTTGGTGAGGGGGGGTTCAGCATGGGACTCGGGAGTTTTTCTGTAATATTTTCTTTGGATATTCAGTTCTCCCCTCTTCTGATGTGTTATATTTGTTAGCACCCCTGGCTTTTAAACTGACGGTAAATGCATTAAATATTTCAACATTTCTGATAATGTATTGCTATTTATTTGTTACCTCATGAACCTATGGTGTCAGATAAGTGGTACATTTGTTTTACTTAAAGCTAATGCATGGTACTAGTGTACATTTTCTACTATATGTGCTATCCGGATAAGTAGAATTCCTGATGTTGAACAATTTCCTTAGGTCCCCGTGACTTCTACTCATCCAGACTCGGCTGTATCTGATAAAGCTATGAGGTAGAAAATGTGATTTACTTACTGTGTTACCGGACAATACTGCATGTCACTGGCACAGCTGGTCATAAGACTGCTCTTACGACTTCCCTCCATGGTCAAGCCTGGCAAGGACATATAGCTCCTAGTGGAGAAACTGCATCAATCAGTAAGAGCATACTTAGTGTGAATGATTAGGAAAGACATGCATTATATTGACAATTATGTCACACACATTCACTGTCAGTAACTAGTGTAACATGTTTATGTGAATGTCTTCATCTGTTACACATGAGAATGGAGGTTGAGGCAGTAACTGTGGTGTTCCTATTGGTGGAGTAAATTTCACCTACATATGCTGTCATTGTATCGGATTTTTAAAAAAGCATGATCTGGAGGGTGGAGACAGATTTTCATCGAACAGAATGAGTCAATCAATTCAGAATTTGCAGTTGGTGAGGGCCACATGAATATTTTGCCCAGACCATTCAGATGAGTCTGAGAAAAAGCAGGCAGACAGGTTAGCTGAAGTAAAATGGAAGATACTAAACACCCGCACCTGGATATAGTGTTGCAGCAGGGAGTGTCTGTGGGCTCTGGGTGCCACTCAAGACTTGGGAGGAAAGCAAGATAAGAAGTTGACCAGATGATAACATGTACCATCAGTATGAAGATTCTTTGCTGGCTGTTGAGGAGGGAGACAGAGCTAATATGGGCTTATCGACTTCTTTGATGTTGAATTTTTACCCAGATCTGTTATCTGAATAAAATGTATCAACGTGTTTCTTTTCAAATGTTGTAGGCCTTTATTTCTACTGAATGATCTCAATCATTATTGTTTTGAATTAATTCTAGCAAAGATCACTTCCTTCTGTCTGCTATTATAGGGCACTGTTTCTTTGAAAAGGTATCATTCATCTCAGAGAGGCAGTGCCCACTAAATTTAAAACCTGCTCCTGATAACCCTAAACTGATCTTAACCTTTAACCCAACGGACTTTGAATAGAGGACTTTGGTGGCAGTGAATCCACATCACTCGCCAGAATGGCAGACTTGGGAATTAAGATCGGCACAGCAAAAAACGAGACGCACACCAGACACGCCAGAAGACTTGTTAATCAACATAGAACTGGTACTATTAGCCATCGGACGTTGGGGTTCATACTGAGGGGAGGATCTGAGCACCTATGGACATGTCCGGAGTGCAATGAGGATAACCCAACTAACTAACTAACTAACTAACTAACTAACTAACTAACTAACTAACTAACTAACTAACCAACGGACCGCTACAATTCTATATGGCTGAACTGTTGTGGATCAACTATCGGTCATCCAAGTATAAACATAGACCATCACTATTGTATACACCGTCCCATACCCACATAAGATCCTGACATCCACCTCTTTTCTGAAATGATACTTCCTGACAACAGACATACAAGTAACTTATTATAGTCTGTAGTCAAGTATCAACAAATAGGTATGGGATGTCACAACAGTTGTGTCAAATGTCTATGTAGTCAACAATTAGTTAACTGGGTAGGGATGAGATGTCTTCTATCAAGAATCAGTCACATCAGAATAAATTATATACACATTTCAACAGATATGTATACATATCAGGTCAGCACTTCTCTTGTGGGTACAAATGATGTCAATACCTGACACAAATATGCCAGCATTGCTAACACCTTCTATAATATAGGTAATGACTTAAAAATAACGTGGGCAAACAATCATCCTGTCCGGGATCCAATGAACCTAACTCCACTCCCGGACGAGCCCCGATATATCTGACACAGACCTCTGATCCACCGTGATGGTACATGGCTCGTTGTGCAGGCCCTTGAAAATCTACCCAAAAATACACTAAGCCAACTACCACAGAGCACATACAACAATCTGTAATGTACAGCATAGGCTAACATGAGGTAGTTGATGTCAAAAGATGTGAGCTCTCTTATCTGAAATGCTGGTTATGATGGCTTTACAAATTACTATGCACACCTTCCTGTCCCCATGAATATTACTCAAGAAGAAAGCATTTTAAAATGTATTCTTTTTTTTTTTTTTTTTCACTTTTTTTTTAAAAGCTAGATATCTTATTGATACTTTATCCACAGGACAGATGAAAGAAGCATTCGGTGGGAAGCAGCACAAGATTTTCAATCCTCAAAAATCTCTCAATGTGAAGGTCTGTTATACATAATGCTAGGCTGAAAATAATTAACATTAATAATAAGGCTCTTTAGCAAGTTTTAGCAGATTAAAATGGACACTTCTGGAAATGAATGCCACTACTAGAATTGTGATAAAACCTGAAAGAATTGTTAAGATTGACTAGAAAGTCAAAAGTGTGTGTCTTCCAAACAAAGTTTGGGCACAAATACACGTACAGACGCAAGCAACATTAATACACACACACACAAAAACAAACTTGTTTGCATACCTACATGTGTAAATACAGATCAATGTATACATACACATGCTAAATACACTTGTGTATAAACATTCATACATACATACACACATGTATTTGAATCCACATATTTGTATAATGACAGTTAATGGTGAATCTTTCATTTAAATAAACAATACTTCTTCTTCCTCTTCTTCACTTACTCATTCACTGCTCTGGGTGTCAAGGGAGATTCAATGAACAAAGCACAAGAAGAAATAAAGAAGTCAAGTTTCATGATAAATGAAAGCTAACTTACCCAACTCTCTGTGACTTGTTTGACAGTCGCACCCCACCAAGAGCACATAAAAATCCTGTCATGTTTGCCCATTCATTCAGCTGATCCTAGCAGGAAATGAACAGAAAACGATACTGATGATAAGACGTACTAATATTCTATTTTACTAATAATTAAATAACTATTTGTATCTATTCAACAAGCTGTGCTGAGTTATATCTCACTGCACCCAATTGCAATGATATACAGTTGCTAAGGGATTCGTTAGGAAACAAAATAGTTATTGCCACAAAATGCAAACATTTAGCGATTTCATCTTACTGGGCCACAGCCCAGAATCCGCCTATAATTTGTCTATTTTGGTATCCACCACTAAAACGTTAATATGTCCGCTTAGATCTGACTTACAGGCTTCAATGAGATATCATTAGATTTGTACTTTTAATCTCTATCTAGCTATGATGGTTTCATAGGTAAAAACCCAGTATATCAAATGTCAGTAGCATCCCCAATAAAAGTAGTTTTCACAGAAAGGCTTAAAAAAAATATGCATTTTTGTAAACTATCAAATGTAATTAGTGCAAAAAAAAATGTGTATGTGTGTACATTACCTCCAGTTCATGTTCAGTGTTAGAATGTGGTGTTTTGCGTTTTGTTATCCTCATCACATCGGTCAGTTCTCTCCCTTCTTCAAGTTTTATCTTTGGATAGCTCTCTAAATAACGTGTAACTGCATCCCAGTTGCGGAATGTGTCATCCCAAGCCTGAAATATATTAAATCAACTGCATGCATCAGTCTGGCTTATATTAAATCTTCTTCCTGATGTTTTAAAGCTTTATGCAGCAAAAGGTAAACAGAAAACATAAATAATACTATTCTTCTTCTTCTTCTTCAGCATTCCGAGCACTTGAGGTTCATGGCTGCAGATATCACCTGCCTCCATTTATCTCTGGTTGGCCATCTCTTTCCAGTTGGTGACACCAAGTGTTTGTAGGTCTGGATATTATCTCTCCATTGTCTTCTTGGTCTGCCTCATGGTCTATGACCATTCAGCTCCCTTGTATAAGTAATAGTATATTTACTATAAATGTAATTGTTATACAGCTATTACAAATTACTCTAAAAAGAAGTATTTTACAAGAACAGATATTGTAGCAATTTTTTTAAACATTTCATTACATAAAGGTAAATATATACTGAATTTCTCAATATTTTTTTTTGTGTAAATATAAGTGTTTGTATTTGCATGCTCCTGTTCATTCGTACTTCCAAACCATTTTTGTATTTTTTTAAATGTAGATGCAACAACATTGAAAAACAAAACACTTCTTTAAATAAATCTCACACATAATGTACAACCCTTGTGATACAAGAACCAATATTTCCAAACATATGTTAGGATTTGCCATGCTGACATACGTAGCTCACAACATAAGATGCAAAACAACTAACATGTTTACTAATATTCACATCACTTAAAAACCCATGCCTGGGCTACTAACGTATATCAACTCTTCTAAATTGGCAAACTCTTGTGCAGACATTGCTTTTAAAAAAAACTGATATAACAGCATTGACAGATTTACGATTTATACCTCTTATTAATAAACATTTGATAGACAATTAACTAATGACATATCATTCAGACTGACAAGAAGTTACCTGTGAATTTCCTGGAGTTGACTGGTCAATTTTTCTCAGCAGAGCCATAATTCTTTTCTGCAAAGCAGCTCTTCCTATCAAATGTAATAAACAGCAAAGTTAGTCGTCAAATGTCACTACATAACATTCAATGTTACTGAATGTTTATGTAGCCGACTATACATAACAGTATGAGGACTCTGAACATTTTGATTAATTCGGAATGTTCTGTTCTGTCAAATGTCATTGTGTAAACTATAATATATAAAGTATAAACCTGTTAATTGTAATGCGTAGTTCATACTGTAAGCATCGAACAGATTCCATCCACTTTATACACCTAGGCTATAAAACAGCGGTTCTCAACAAAACAGGACAAGCCGAAACTACAAATTATGCATACTATGTCATAAATCCCCACCACTGAAGTTTAGAAAAAGAAATATTGTATGTTACAGAGAACCGGTTTTAACATATAAACAATTAGCGAGGAAACGAGAATCTCCTGAGATCTCAAAGATGTAGTTTTATTTAAGAATGCTAAAATTTCTTCGAACAGCCAAAATGAATTATCTTAATGCTCAGAAAGATGCTAAGCCACAAAAGGAACTTATCACAAACAAATAGACTTTATATGAGAAGAGAAATACTGGAACAAATTATAGCAAAAATAAACATAGATGTATTAATGTAGGCATACAAAGAATTAAAGCATGCTAAATATGACAGAAAATATTCTATTAAGTTATAGTGAGTTTATATAAACTGTCAGTAACATTCTTGGTTCACATATGTCCAAATTATAACATAGATATGTAGATTTCCACTGAAACTTCATAAAATCTGCTGAACTCTGTGCAATGTTTTCTGTTATTATGCCAATAAATAATGTGTAACAAAATACATGAACTAATAATTGACATCTGAAAAAGATCTTGCACTTGGTAAATTGTAGATTGTATTGTATACTGCATTTGATGTATACTTGAAACCTGTTAGAAACTATACCTCACGTATAACAAAGTGTCTAGTTGATGATTTAAGCTTACAGTATGAGGTGTAATACAGTTCAGAACAACATAACAATGAATGTGCTCACCGATACATACTTTCATTTCACAGAACCTTTGTGTTTACCAATACGACACACATAGGATGCAATAATGTATCACACAAGATGCCATCTATATCATAATGATGGCTTTAAACAGTTTACTACACCAACTCGCCGCATCTTCATAACAGTTACCAGCGGCGTTCTGAAAATGCAACCTCAACCTTGCTGCCGTGCCTGAATCCACGAGCTAGCACCGCATCTGTGCCTAAGGCAGCTGGCCAACCCTCACACTAGGGCTAGCAGTAAGAATGGACACTTTCCATTGCTCCTACCCAGCTTTGCCGTGAATAATAGGTTATATTAAACAAGCACAAGCATCTTGAACTGACTAGAAACTTCTACTAACTCCTAAGTCTCCACGATATTCACATTCACGAGTCAGAACACACAAGGAATTCTTCACAATGAACTGGCTAGAAGTCTTTGCAGCAAGGTAATCTCCTCTCACCCTCTGATCCTTGAGACTTACTCAAGTATATTCCCTGAGTGAGTTCCCTGTGCATTCTCAGATACATGAGAAGCATGCCAGTTATTCTCGTGACTCAACTCAATTCAACCAGAACTCTGTGCGCAAGGTTTCACCCGACAAATTCTCAGTCTGAATGTTGACTCAGGCATTGTTGACACTTCATGAATTTACTGGCCAACATGACTGTCCCAATTCTCAATAGATTCAAAACACAACAGATTGGTAATTTTTCTAATGACATCGGAAAAAAGATCGTTGATAATAAGTAGATAATAAGTTGACTGAAACTTCATAAAATCTCTGCAATGTTTTCTGTTATTATGCCAAAAATAATGTGTAACAAAATATATGAATTAATTAATTAGATCTGAAAAAGATCTTTCATTTTGTAAATTGTAGATTGTTAATTTTTTAATGGCAACTAAAAAAGATCTTTCACTTTATAAATTGTAGATTGGTAATTGTTCTAACATCCAATAAGCTTTGTCTGTACATACCTGTGGTCAATACAGTACTGGCAGCAGCCAATTCTGCATACACGGAATAGTTTGGAAGCAGCTGTGTAACAGTCATCTCATCAGCACCACAACGTATATCAGCTTCCTCACACAAGAGACGGAAACATGACATGGAGGTGAGCACAGCATCTATCTCAATGCTCCACAGATACATGAAGAACACAACCTGAAAATTTTATTTGAAAGAAAAAAAAATCAGTCTACTTTTTTTATCGTTTTTAAACATGTGGACATTTTCACTATGTTTTTGTTGTTGTTGTGCGTGTGTGTGTGTGTGTGTGCATGTGTGTGTGAGTGCATCTATGTGTGAGAGAGTGTGTGTGAGATTGTGAGCATGTGTATGTGTGTGTGTGTGTGTGTGTGTGTGTGTGTATGCATGCACATGTGAGTGTGTGCATGTGTGTGTGCATGAGTGTGTGCATGCATGCATGTGTGTGAGTATGTGTGTGAGTATGTGCATGTATATGTGTGAGTGTGCGTGCACGCGTGCGTACATGCGTGTGTGTGTGTGTGAATGTGTGTGTGTGTGTGCGTGTGTGTAATGACTGTGCATGTGTGCGTGTGTTTTTTGTTTTTTAATATGGAAAGCCGCCACCCACACAAAGTTGAGCATAGGCATCTATCATCAATGCATTAGTATCACAATTAAAGAGTCTTTTTCTAACATCATTATCTTCATCACTATTAAGTGCCTCACTAACTGTTGTGAGTGACCACACTTCTTCACAGATCAAATGTTCCAGCCGAATGTATTAATTCATATGCTGATATATGTCAAAGTCATGAGACAAATTCCTAATTTATCCTAATGATACCAATAGAATTAAAACTATCTCCTCCTCCTGATATTTTGGTGTTAATGCTTCCTCTTTTAAACAATATTCTTACCAACCCTATGCTATCAATGTCAAATATTCAGAAGACTGAAGGAACCTAGTCATGATAGAAATCAAATGTTTAGTACTATGCTAGGTGAAACAAGGAAAGATTGACTTAGGAATAATATCAATCGGAGAGTCGGCAGAGAACCAAATACCAATACTAAACTTATAGGGTAGACAAACGATCAAATGCACACTGGCCAAGTAACAAGAATATCATCAGACAGGACACCACAGACAGCAATGTTATACAGATACAGCAGTAACAGCCCAGAGGTCAACCATGTAGAAGATGGACCGTGGAAATATCAGAAACACAGAAAAGAACAACTTCTTCCTTCGTTCACTTGAAAAAAATTATCTATATCAGCAATGATGTCTCTAGTACAAACTTCACTGTCTTTTGTAATTCTAATTCACTTAGCAGCCCATAAGTTTTATTTCAACCAGTGTCTCTCTTGGCCAGAAGTTTTGCTTGGAAATGTAGTATTTGGGACAATCTTGGAGGACATGATCTGTTGTCTCAGGGGCCAGTCCACATATGAACACGGCTATTTGCTGATCTTAAATTTTGTGTACATGTGGCTGTGAAGTCAATTGTGCCCTGTTTGAGGTGTTGAATAATGACTTTCTCTGGTCTGTCCATAATATGGTAATCGTCTTGTGCCAGTTTTAGGGGTTTTTTGATTGATTTGATTATTCTCTTCTTCTGCTAATAAGAGACTGGTACGTCACGTTGTAAAAAGTACTATATGCAAAGCAAAGAGAAGGTCCCATTCCAGAGATCTCTTCCTCCCCTGATGCTGCGAGGCATTCCAGGAATAGAGTAAAGATCATGCACAATGTTTCATGGCCTTTATCAAAACATTCAGAATGCTCATTTTAACAGTCCATATTATTTCTAAAATTCTACCATAAACCATATCTAACACTGTCTAAGAAATAATAACTATAATTTAACCCTTTTGATCTGAGAACGCATGTGAATTTTGTGTTGTGATTCTTTTTCGTCAAGCAGAAGGTGAAATAGGCCACAATTCATCATCAATTGTGTCGTGGTGTGCGGTGATAACATTATAAGTAGTTTATGTGAAGACGGCCACTCACTGATTGTCTGATTCCCATGTAGTACTTTCAAGTATATTCAAAAGCTGAAATCTTCCAGATTTTTTTTCCATACTGTGTGAATGTTTCTTTTAGGAAAGCCGCTACTGAAAGAAATGTAGAAGCTTCTTTTTTAATGAGCTTCTACTGAAGAAGGAGACAGAGATTACATGAAAATTCCTAAGTGCAGTGACACTGATTTTTGGATGATTCATCCTGATTCCTGAATCAATAATTCATTCTTTTGCCCAACACTTTAAACAGGTCTCTAATAAATACTTTTAAAATGTATTTATCAATGCTTAAATGTTTTCAAAATATAAAGAAGGTAATCAAAATGTTGAATGATGAATTAAGAATCAACATCACAGAACTAGAGACACTCCCATAAGCGCTCCGTCCCCATCTTCAGCAGCAAGCGAAGAGTTAAAATTCTGATGGTACCAGTAACAGTATGACTGTATATCTGTCTCGCCCCTTCCCTGAGCGTCAAGCGTCAGCCAGATCCCCTTGTAACTACTCGCAGTGCCATTCTCCCCAGACCGTAATGATCTATCTTTCCTCTGCACTGTTCACTCGCTCCCAAAGGGCCCTGACAACATCCAGCTTGTCATGTATCAGTTCACCACCAAGTGGTGCAGAAACGGCCAGTCTAAGAAGGTAATCAAACAAGCACAAACAGAATGAAGCATTAAACATAATGCACAATCAGAGGTCTAAAAAAAATATGTAAAAGGTGGCACATGCCATGACCCAATGACCTTTATCACTGAGGCTTACAGGAAAATGTTACAAGATCTTGGCTTTTAAAAAGAAACCATTGGATTTATAAGAATAACCCCCACCCCCTCCCTTTTCCAATCCCTAAATACTATTTTTAGACAACATATTTATATCCAGGCTACCTAAACACCGTGCAGGCACACACAAGAGTGATAGAATTAATGAAGAAATATAATGTTAAAGTGTTAAGCTTATCAGAAGTGAGAATGAAAGGACGGGGGAATGAAGAAACACAAATAACCAACGGAATTTAACCATGCTATTTAAGAACGGGTCACTGCAGATACACAGAAATTTATAGGACTGTGTCACAACTGAAAGTAACTAGATTTAGTCTTCCCATGGTGACACGGTTAAAGGGCTGGTGCATATCTAATGTGATCTAATCTATGCTTGGCAATTTGTAAGCTTCAGTTATTTTTTTGTAGAGACGGTCTCTGCACAATTTATTTTCAGTTTCTAAGCTTGGCAGAAGTCATGTCAGGCAACACTGTCATGCAGTGTAAATAAGGAATTATAGGTAATTTAAAAGTAAGCAGACTCTGACACACAACTGACCTCTAATTTAATGTGAGCTTGTCTACACACTGGAATGTTGCTGCCCATGTTAGCGTTTGCACTGTGTTTCTGAAGAAATCGGTTCCTGTAGACAAGTATCTCCCGCAGCCATTTCAAGATTTCTGTATAATTGACTATTTGATGTTGAATCAGACGCTGAGATATGTAAAATAAAACCTGGGAACTGCAACAGACCAAAATACATTTCCTTTGTTAAATTTCACACTTTGTCAAATGCCTTAGATCTACCAAATTTGTATTGAAACAATCACTGTTACATTCTACAAGCAATAAATCATTCATTTCACATTTATTATCCTACTGTACACATAGGGCTTACAGTCTATTTCTCTGTCCCATTCTTTCCTATGCAAACACTTCAATATCATAAACAGAATCTGCTCTATCATCCCTGGCTTCTCTAATCAACTTTAAGGTTTCTCTGGGACTTCCTCACTTTCTCAATCCCTCAATTTCTCATTTCAGTGCTTGTTTGTTGATTCTCTGTTGTCTCTTATGAGAATGTGCCCAATTAAGTGCAATCATCTTCATCTTATAACTGTTGATACTTGTAGTTGCCTGGACTTTCTCTTATTTCTTTACTTCCCGTAAATTCACCCCTTTTAATGTTCAACCTTTTCCTCGCATCTGTATTTGAATGCATTTAACTTTCCTTCCATGTTTTTATTGGTATTTCAACTTTCACTGGTATATGTTAAAAGTGAAATAACATTAGAATTGAAAATATGTAGTCTGGTGATAAAACTATATAATTTTGAATTCAATATTTCGTTCAAGCTTTTAAAAGCATCTGATGCCTTGCACTCACGACCTAAAGTGATTAGAACCCAACACAAATCTGATTCTTGCTTGGGTACTTTAACCTACTCCTCTCCTCACCTAAATTTATCAAGCCTGCACACATGTCTAATTGTGTCTTCAGCTGGCGCTATGCAAGACCTTCCTCTTTTCAGTCTGTGAATTTTAGCTGTACCTAGAGCTTCATGCAGGAGGTGCTTCTTGTTTGCAGCTACTCTGAGTTATGACTTTATTGCAGAACTTTGAGCCTTTTTTGCAATAGTATACAGTGCAAGTATATATCACATACATACTACCGTCGTATGTCTTGTACATCCCAGAATTACCCGCATGGCTTCATTCTGTAAGCGTTCAAGTTTCATCAGCTGACTTTTTGATACAGTCAGCATTCCAAGACCATAATCTATCACTGATAGGATCACATGCTGGAAGACTGTGAACAGCATTCTTTGTTCCATGTCCACTGCTGCCATAATCTTGAGAGCATTGAGTCCTTTTGGCATTTCCCCGCAAATGCCTTCACACGATCCCTGGCATATACAGGTGTATATTGAAAATTATACCCAGGTACCTCAATTTGCTTTCCCTTTTGATGTTTCTGTCATTAACTGCGCGGCTTGGAACATTAGCTCTTACAATTCTATTGTCTAGAGAGCATCATAAAACAGCTGCTTTTTCTGAGCTGATGACAGCACCCATTTCTGCACACCAGTCAGTCACTTTGTCTACAGTTGCCTGTAGCTCTTTAGTTGTCTGTTGCCTATCGCTCCCCTGCCTATATGCAAAAACATTATCTGCAAGTGTCAATATACTTCCAACACCTGGTGCTTCAAGTTCTGCAATCTTGCTTGTATACATATTGAAAAGAAATGGTGAAATTGCAGAACTGTTTATCAACACTACACCACGTTAAACTAAAAGTAAAACTGCAAAGTGTATAAGAGCGTACAAAACAAAAGAAAGCTGGTGACAAGGATAAACGATGATCACAAGATAGAAATATTCACCTGATGTCCCAGAAAGTGTTAATGGGAGCCTCTGGGTTCCACAGTTCTATATTTTCTGGCTGATGCAAACACAGAAGTGCCTGAAGGAAGACACAAAATGTAAGGAAAGCCACTGCCTTTTTAAAAAAATGATAAATGGGAAACCAAAGTCTCATTTACTTTCACAAGCTAGCATGTATGTTGAAGAAACTAAGAAAAAAACTGACCGTAACAGTTTCCAATAAATATCATGTGGTCTGCAACAGTAAGTTAGATAAAACTGAATACAGAAAACAGCTGGCAGTAGTTTCAAAACATTTGGAATAAACCATATCAAAATATATATATATATATATACACACACACAAATCAACTGTGCGTGGAGTCACATTCATCCTTGTTCCAGGGTATGCAGGTGTTATTGGCAATGAAAGAGCTGACAGATTAGCCGGCTCTGTCTTAGTTACAGAGGGCCGGCCCATGTATCACGCCAACATTGTTAATGCCATTAGAGAGGTAGGATGATATGAGGATTTTGGGAGCAGCAACTCCATATGTTTGCTAAGAGAGCAAGAATTGGGAGTTAAGATCGGCACAGCCAGGCACGAGAAGCACACCAGATGCACCAGAAGCAACTAACACAGAACTGGGAGCTATCAACCGCAGGACGCTATTGTATATGCTGAAGAGGGAATCTGAGCACCTATGGATGTGTCCGGAGTGAAGATCACCTAAATCATAACTTATAATTCATAACTATTGAGCATGTTTAGAAACTTTCTGTCTATTCCATTTCTGTTTCATATAATTTCCAAATATTTATGTCCAAATTGTCCAAAAGGACAATTACCTTATATTTTTTATAGAAAGTAGAGGACTTCTCTTTCAAACAATAAAAGGTCTCTACTTTCCCATAACTGTCTCCTATGCCCTGACATTTCCTTGGTACTGATGAAGTGAAGTGAAATATCTGTCTTCAGTTTCAATATTTATAGTGTTTACTAACTTGTATTAGATTATATGCAGGTTCACTGTTTTTGCGTAAAATAGTATGCATGAAATATGGTTTTAAAAGTTTAAATAAGCAATCATCAGGGTTTTGAGAAGAAAGTGATAATTTTTACACAAACTTATGGCAAAATGGTTTTCAAGTTTTGAGCAAATCGATTTCCAAATGGCCTTCAGGAATTAATTTTGTCACAGAACTGAGGTTCCACTGTATTTCGCCTATCCTAGAAACCTGATATATCATTCTCACTTTATACATAGTTCTAACATTTCTGGAGCCAGATGTGCAGATTCCGTCAGTTGAAGCAGTAGGTCAGTGATAAAAAACTCCATTTTCTCCATATTATCCCATAATTGTTTTAGGACAGCCTTCCCATTATCCTGGTTGGTTGATTGTTTACTGCTTCTTTTTTAGATCTGTTCACAACTGGTTGTATTTGGGGCTGTAGTTTTCTACCAGATAGGATAGCCAACCCCAAGGCCAATCTTTCTAGGTCACCTCTTAGGACATGCTTGGTATGTTACACTGTTACTGTTCTTTGCATCCCCTAAAGCAGCGGTTTTTAACCTGTGGGTCCCTTTTTTTGGGTCGAATGACCCTTTCAGAGGGGTCGCCAAAGATCATCCAAGACACATATTCATTGAATTTATGAAGTAGCAACAAAAATAATTGTATTGCTGAGGGTTGCCACAACATGAAGAGCTGTATTAAAGAGTCACGGCATTGGGAAGGTTAAGAGCGACTGCCCTAAAGGCTGTGGTCCCATATATATGCCAGTGACTATGATGACATTATATAATGAAAGATCAGAAATATGAAACACCTAGTAAGGTGGTTTACAGCCAGAGTCAAGGACAGAACTGTAGAAGAACAGTTACAAAGTTGGTGTATATCCTTTACAGGTCATTACAAAGCAAAATCAGTATTAGTTGGTTTTTGCATGGTTTATAATGTAATTTACATTCAGTAGTTTGCCACTGCTTTCCTAATAGTTTGATGCCTATAACACTCAAAATGAAGTAAAAGCAATCAGTTGCCAAATCAACCCTAGATCAAGAGTCTGAACCTTAATGCATAGGAATTATAAAAGTGTGTTAATCTCTAAGCCACAGATGCTGACTTATCAGTTACATAGAAGGTACACAACAGATGGCTTTGCTTTGCTTGTGCAACCATCTACAGAATCATTTATGGATACAGAATGGGCAATGTCTTGTTGGAAAACTCTTTAAAGTGAATGCATTATTACATGATAATGTTTAGGCAGTGAATCTGCCATCATGTGCCACTGTTTCCTCAACAACTACACGTCACTTGTTGGTGAACTGACCCCAGTGAGTGTGAGGGATACAGATGTCTTACATATGCTTTGTCACTGACCTCACAAACTGTACAGGAATTGGGCTCTGGAACATAAGAACTACTATTGAGAATCTGCTAAAGTGGAAAAGTATTCCTCAAAAAATAGTAAAACATGTCCATGACAGAACCACTTATATTTATAAACAAATGAGAACAGACATATGAATAAATTATGAGTGTTATTTATTTGTCTTTTAGAAAAAGAAAGAATACAAACCTCCATAGCCTTCTGAGCAACATCCGGCATCCATTGTTGGTGGACCAAAGAAACTAAACTTGTAATGAGATCCAGAGTACTATGCTGAATCTCATGGCCTTGCTTGCCTTGATTCTGTATTTGCAACAAAACAATTTAATACATACAGCCTAATCTAACTGTGTGCATATTCTTCTTCTTCTTCTTCTTCGTATGTCCACATGTATGTTTCAGTATGAATTGGTCTGTGTGTGTTTCTGTGTGTTCAAGTGTGCCGCTTTGCTGTGTATGTGTGTCTGCGTGTGTGTGTGTGCGATTGGATCCATGTAGCTGTGTACATGTGTCTTTGTGTGTGTGTCTGTGTTTGTCTGCATGTGTGTGTGTCTCGGTGTTTTTCTGCATATTTTATGTGACTGTGTGTATATCTTCGTTTGTGTCTGTGTGTGTCCTCGTATGTGTTCGTCTGCATGTTTGCCTGTGTATGTTTATGTATTTTGTCTGCGGGTGTGTCTATGAGGCTGTATGTATGTATCTTTGTGTGTGGGTGTCTGTATGTCTGTCTGCGTGAGTGTATGTGTCAGCATGTGTCTGTCTGTGTATGTCTATGTGTGTTTCTCTGTGTGTATTGTGTGTGCCCCTTTGTTGTCTGTATGTGTCTGCATGTCAGAGTATATGTCTGTGCATGCTGAATATATGTGTCCGTGTGTGTATTTCTATGTGTTTGTAGGTGTATGCATTTCTGCGTGTTTGTCTGTGTGGGTGTCAGATTGTGTTTGTCTGCCTGTTTGTATGTGTGTGTGTGTGTGTGTGTGTGTGTGTGTGTGTGTGTTTGACTGCGTGTGTGTGGCTGTATGTATGTGTCTGCATGTTTGTCTGCGTGTGTGTGTGGTGTGTGTGTGGTGTGTGTGTAAGTGTGTGAGCACGAATGTAAATATGTGTGCTGTGTGTTTTCCTGTGTGTGTTTATATGTAAGAGTCTGTGTGTGTGTGTCTGTATTTTTGTCTAAGTGAGCGTGTGTGTCTTTGTGGGAGTGTCTCCATGCATGACTGTATTTATGATTGTATGTTTGTATGTGTGTGTGCCTGTATTACGAATGTATGCCTGTATGTTTGTATCTATGTATGTTTGTTTGTATGTACATATGCCTGTGTGTATGCCTGTTTGCATGTTTGTTTGTATGTACTTATATATGTATGTATGTAATGTTTGCATACATGTATGTGTGTGTGAGTGGGTGATCGTGTGTATGCGGGTGTATGTATGCATGCGCGGGTTTTTTGCATGCACTTTACAACTCATGCTTTTGTGTTCTTTTATAATATTCATAATATGCATATTATCATATGATCATAACATGCTTTATCAGTAAAAATACAACTGCTGTGCGAAAGATGGTTGACTGGAAGGGCCGAATGTAAGACGGGCCTGCGTGCCCAATTTGTAACCCTTTGAAAATAAAGTTTGTTCGTTCATTCGTTCGTTCGTTCTTCTTCTTCTTCAGCATTCCGAGCCCTAGAGGTTCATTGCTGAAGATATCACCCGCCTCCATTCATCTCTCTGGTTGGCCTTTTCTTTCCAGTAGGTGACACCAAGTTTTTGCAGGTCTGTCTGGACATTATCTCTCCATCATCTTCTTGGTCTGTCTCGTGGTCTGCGACCATTCATCTCCCTTGTGTATACAGATTTTGTTTCTCTGTCATCTGATATTCTTTCAATATGCCCCAACCATTTAAGTCTATTAGCTCTCATAATGCCAGTGCTCAATGGCAATTTAAACAGATTATGAATTTCGTTGTTGCTTTTCACATTCAATTCCCCCGTTTGCATCTTTGATGGGTCCAAAGATTCATCAAAAGACTCTGTTTTCGAAAACGTGTAATAAGGCTTCATCTCTTTTAGTTGTGCTCCAAGTTTCAGAGCCATTTAAAAATGGCTGGTCTCATCAACATTTTATATATTTTGATCTTGGCATTACGAGACAGACACTTTGACTTTAGCAGATGTTGAAGGGCATAGTATATTCTATTTCCAGATTGTATTTCTTCTTTCAGCATCTTGGAGCAGTTGAAGTTTGCACCCAAGTACTTAAATGTTTCTGTTCGTTTGATTTTCATATGATTGACTTGTATGTGGCCAGAGTTTATATCCTTTCCCTGTCAAGTTATTATCATGTATTCTGTCTTATCTTGATTGATAAATAGTCCCATTTTCTGAGCTAATTATTTTAAGAGAGTCAGTGTTTTAACAGTCTCTAGTTCATTTTTTGTTTATAAAGTTGTGGGTTATTAATCATAATCAATGAAGTTGCAGGAATTGAAAAACATTACTTCTAGCTTTGTCTCGGATGGTTAATTTGGCAGCGTTTCTCAGGCATCTCATTTCACAGTTGTTAAATTTTACGAAGGTTAGTCTTTGATAAAGTCTATGCCTGGCACTGGTAATACAGTGCTGGTATGAATATGCTGTTTAAAATCTGTTTCCTTGGCACTCACATTATGTTTGATCTTTGCTCATCTTCATGTTGGTTGGCCTTTGCCCCTCCTTCCTGGTACCATGCCTTCAGTCTTAATAATGGTACAGGTAAATAAGTGCACTGGTTTGTTGGCATCTTGTTTCTTTTTCCCAATCTATTCTCCTGTCCTCCATGAATATACTTCATTTTTTGTGTGTGGGTCTAATTCTTCCTCCTGAAAGTAAAGTTCCTCATCTTCTGGATTTTCTTGGTTTACTGCTTTGAACCTGGTATCTTTTAACCCACTGACTACCAGCGTCGCACAGTATGCGACGAGGCGACGTTTACTTCTTGCTGCCAAGGTCACACCCCTTGCGATTGTAGCTTTGGACGCTGGCCATCATGTTGAAATTGTGATTTTTATGATGAATTTATGTGAAGCCTTTGTCTTTTTCACTGCTGTATGATTTATTAAGGGAAGTAACTTTGTAGTGCTTAAAGTAAATATTTGACGAATTTTCTTAGCTCCCATGTCGTCAAATTCTCAGAACCATCGTGGTGGTCATATTTCTCCTAATGTTTCTGATGATGCATGTGACTTTCTTGATTTTGCTTCAAAAAGTGAATTTGAAGACACTACTGAACAGTTTGATGGCTATGACTTTGATAAATATAAAGGATTGTTCGGTTGCCTTTTTGCAACAATCTACAGCCACTTGATGATGATTATTTCAGACAAAGTAAACACCATTCCCCCCCCCCCCCCCCCTTTTTCAAATGTGTTTTCAGTTCAATTTTGTGCAAAAATACCAAATATAATAAATGCTTGATGAATATTTTTGAAAATATGACATTTTCATTCGTTGATATTGTTTTCATATAAATTATTTTCAGTTGCCTTTTTTTTTTGCAACAATCTACAGCCGCATGATGATGATTATTATTTCAGACAATCATCATCATCAGGTCTCGTTATGCCTAGTGGCACATGAGGCTTCAGAGAGGACTTTTTATGCTTTCCAGTCCTGTGCAATCTTCAGTGCAGTTTTCCATGTCAAAGATGCCGCACTCAGGTCACTTTCCATCGTTTGTCTCGATGTTTTTGGGCGCCTTTTTTTCTCTTTCCCTCTGGTATCCATGTGAGAGCTGTTTTAGCAGGTATATCAGGATTCATTCTCCTAATGTGGCCAAGCCATTTCCATCTTCTCTTAGTTATCATACTGTCTATAGTTTCTTGGTTTGTGACTTAAAGTAGTTTAGTGTTTGAGATTGTATCTGGCCAGAAAATTTTGATAATTCTACGTAGACATGTGTGGTGGAAGGTGGACAGCTTGTGTACATCCTTTCTGGTCATTCTCCAGCATTCCGCTCCATAAAGAAGAACTGGCAAAATTCCAAAGTAAACCCCATTTTTTTTTCTTCAAACGTGGTCTCGGTTCAATTTTGTGCAAAAATACAAAATATGATAAATGTTTGTTGAATATTTTTTTAAGACATGACATTTTTATTTGTCTATATTGTTGTCAGATAACAGATTTTTCGGTTGCCTTTTTTTGCACCAATCTACAGCCACACGATGAGGATGCAAAACAGAATAAACATCTTTATTTTTTCTTGAAATTCGTTCTTCATTCAATTTGGTGCAAAAATACAAAATATTGTGAGATTATATCAAATAGTTGTGAAGCTATGGCTTTTTAGTACACACTAAAACACATGGTATCTGGAAAAATGCAAGGGTTAATGGGCTTGGTAGTCAGAGGGTTAATATTCTGTCTATGCATATAGTAAATAAGAGAGAAGATAGCACACACCCTGCCTTGCCCATGTATTGATTGTAAACATATCAGATATGCATTCTTTATTTCCCACTACACTTTGGGAAGTGTCATACATGGTAACTGCAAAGTTCTCAATAAGAGTTTCTTTTTATCAGTGACAGATCTTCCTAGGTCTACTAACAGATTTCTTCTGCTATTGGTATCTTACCAAACAATCTCAAGTCAGCATCACATATTAAGGGGCCTTTTCTTTAGTGATAACACTTCTAGACTTTGTGACAATGGTATACAGTGAACAGAACAGGGTTTTGTACTTGTAATGTAGTGTTCACAATAATCTGTATTTTGTTGGACTCACATGCAGCATGAGATGAGGATCAGCATGAATCAGTTTGACCAGCCACAGCAAAATGTACTTGTAGGAGGTCAAGACTTCATCTGTGGCTTTATTCAGTTTGAAAGGAGCTGTCAGCTTTGGACCTGTTTGCTGAAAAATTATATGCAGTCAGCACAATTGAAAGAAATTTCAAAAAAAATCCCCAGCCTGAAATATCATACTAAAGAAAACACACAAAGACATTACCTAAAAATAAAGATAACAAGTCTGGAACCAGAAGGGGGAGAAGAGTAGACAGAAAGATAAAGAACGGATTTATCAGAAAACTCTGCCAGCCCATGAGCTGAAAATGTTGATGGTGATGAATATGACTGAGATTAAATTGTCTCTGTGGATTTTACAACATTCCACAAACATACTGAGAATAAGTCATATCAATAAGTAGCATCTCAGGGTAGCCTCCTGTATGGCTCAGCCCAGATGAGCATTCCCTGAAATCCAAATGAGACTTTCCTGCAGTGCAGAGATGTTAAATGACAAGGTCGTTGAAAACTCCAAGAAAATATCAACTCTTTAAGAGGTTTGCTGTTCACCAAAGCCTGCATCTGTAAGGAGCCAGCCAGCTAAATCAATCATGTTGTTAACTTGTGCACTGGTATAAAACAGGCTTGTATTTTTATCTCCCCTATAATTTGATATAGCTACTTACTGGATGATTAAAACAAAATGCGGTGTTGGAAACACGGCACCGATTGGGTAGAGAACACCCAACTGGAAGATCTCAATTTTGCAGATGATATTATTCTGATAAGTAAGAACAGCAATAATTTGCAAATAAAAAAAGACAATTTAGCAAAAATAGCATCAAAAGTCATACTACAAATTTTACTTATTTAGGTAGTAATCAAAGACACAGAAAGTTAAGAAATTATGACACATGTTATAGACATCAACAGCTTTTAAAAGCTTTAATTAACAAAACATGGAAATCTAAATGATATAGTTTTAGAAACCAGTTTCACATTTTCAATTTTAACATTTTCAGTTTTAACAAATGCCAGTGAAAGTTAGAGAACTAATTAGAGGCATAGAATAAAAGTTTTTTGTATATGAAAACAAATTCCTGGAAAAAAATATATAAACACAAAATGGGATGAATTCAGGAGAGGTGAAGAAATAAGAGAAATGTCTGGGCAACCACTGGTATCAACAGTTGTCAGACAGAGATGATGATGCCACAGTGAACACATTCTGAGAAGAGACCAAAAAAAGGCAATAAAATGGGAAAGAGAGGAAATGTTGAATTAAGAATCAACATTATAGCACTTGGGACACTCCCATAAGCGCTCTATCCTTATCTTCAGCAGCAAACAAAGAGTTCCAATTGTGATGAGAAAATGTGGGCATCCAAGAGAAACCCTAAAGTGAATGGTGATGAGAGAAACCAATAGTGCTAAACTGGATTCCATCCATGATATCAAAGTGACTGCACAGGACAGAACACAATGGAGAAATAAACTGTGAGCCCTATGTGACATATAATGACACAACAAGATACAACAAACTCATCTGCTAAAGAACACTGTGGTTTAGATAGAGCTGCAAACAAGAAAACATGTTTGAGATGGAAATTTCGAGTTAAAGGGCAAGGTAACTTGCAGAAATGACCCTACTGCTGTTACAACATGCAAGCCAAATCTGGGTCTAGTGTTGGGGAGTCTTGTTTAGATTTCATTCAAAAAGCAGAATGATTTAGTTTGGAAAACATGCAAGCAAAAGCTGGTCACTGGTAACTGTCCACAAAAATACATAATAATGGCCTTAAATAGACAAGAGAGGTAGAAACGAGAATCCAAAAGCCAACAATGTCATGTACCAACTTGCTCATATTTTGAAACACTCTGCTATCCCAATAGAGATAAAAGACAAATTATTAATACAATATTTATATCCACTTTAGGTAACCAATGTCAGACTCTGAATTTTGACAAAAGAACACAAAAGAAAACTAACTACTTGTGAGATGAGATGTTTGAGAATGGCTGTGAATAAAACCAGAAGAGATCAAGTGAGAAACTGCGAGATCACAAGGACTTTTGTAACAATATCCATCACCAAATTTATTGAGAAACAAAAAATGAAATGGTCTGTCCATCTAATGTGAATGAAACCACTGATGCCAGTAGCAAAAGCATACGACCTGAAAATTGAAACACCAAGAGGAAGGGAAAGATGGAGAAGAAAATAGACAGGGAGTTACTGACACCCTGAGACTGCATAACATAATGGCATATCAAGCAACTGAGCGCTCCCTGGCTCGGCTGCCAATCATCTGATGGACTGCGACGCCTAGTGGCATAAGCAGATATTGACAAAAGAAAGAAGAAGAAGAATGGTGCAATGTATGGTAAAACTCAGTCCCAAAATAAAAAAGAAATTTGTCCCCAAAAAAAGAAAACAATAAATAATGACCCCAAAAAGGTCAAGGGAAAAAAATCATACTTTCCTCTTTCCTGCTTCACTATTATCAATTTTTCAGCTACTACAAACCTTGGGGCAGCTATGACTGCTGAAGCCTTGAGTCACTTTGTTTACTATGTCATTGAACATGTTTCTCAGCTCTCCAGCTTTGCTGTAGACTAAACTGATGTGAGGCCACCATGGCAGGCGTGGCTAGAGTCAGCAGAGAAAAAAGGATTGATTAATGAACATAAAAAAACCCGGCTGCTAATATCTGACTACACAACACAGATTATTTCCGAAGCAGCTGAGGTACCCGAAAATTGTCTTCAAGGTAATCTAACCAGTATAATACAAGTCACATCACCTATCTAATGTTGTTTGGCTGAGAAAATTTGACCCTTGCAACAGCTTCAACATTGGATAGTAATATATCAACAGGTTATTTATCTTTTGCACAATATCTAGGACAAGAATAACATAACATAATCCTTCTCCCGTTAGGGTCATGAAGGTGAATCAATGGAAGCACTAGCACATAAAATCCACCATCTTTCTCTGTCTTCCGTTTACCGAACAAGTGTATGACAGAACAAGAATAATAATACTACATTAAGTGCTGTATGAAATATGCCAGATTTTGGTCATTATCAGACTAGTTATGCATTTTGTTTCTAAATAAATATAACTATGGTATCGTTTATCACCGTGTTTGTATTACACATGGTCATGTGCAATTAACGTGCTTTCTTTAGAAAACTGAACATATACACAACAAAAACACAGTAATTTAATTACACAAACTACCCCAACATATGAATATGCAGTTACCAAGAATAACAAAACAAAAAGCATAACAAGATGCATTAACAAAGTCATACTGTGACACAAACCATCCTGGCATCACATTTCACTTGTTTATGATAAGCTAGCCAGAACTAAGTATTATGTATTCATGTTAAGTGGAACAATATCTTTCATTACAAATTAATAATTACTCTAAAGTAATAAGTTAAAGAACAATTAGTAATTATATCTGTAGCTATACCGTTCTCTTGTACAAATGGCTAAATCAGCATGACAGAACACTTCTTCTTCTTCTCTTCCACCTTGTAATTCATCGAAGTGTCAGGGAGAGATGTAACAATCGTTGATGAGCTCTGTCAGGAGCACCATTGAGACTGAAGTTCATTTCTGTAAGGCTGTTCTTAATACCATCACTCCATATTCTCCTAGGTCTTCCATTCGCTCTATAATGTTTTAGTGTGGCTCACTATGGCAGATAGTACCAGGGCATTCTTGTTAGGTGTCCAAACCACTTCATTTATTGTTCTTTGATGACCTGTAAGACTGGCTTCATTCCTAGCATTCGTCTGATTTTGTGAAAAACACTGACAGGTAAAAATGCTCCTGTTTGTTTACACTATAAGTGTGGGGTAATTCTGAGTGAAATATCATGTTATCAGCTTTAATATTGCCCACACGTTTGACATACAGCACTTTAGAATTGTCAGTGTTAACAATTAGTTATATCATGAGGTCAGTATCAATGTGAACATGAACTGGGTGACCTATTCAGTTTCCCGTGTCAGTTCAATGTGACACATGTTGTCCATTCTAATAATGAACTTTGATCTGTACAGGTTTAGGAGGAATATAGCATTTCCCAGATGCTAACATGACCACCAATGAGAAACAAAAACATCACATTTGTGCAGCACTTTACAGCTGTGTCTTTTGACAATCTATATAAATACAAATGTAGCGTGTCCGTATGTGCATAAGAGCTAATCTCCTAAAGTTCTTCAACTGGAACTCTTTGTTTGCTGTTGAAGATGGGGACGGAGGGTTTATGTGAGTGTCCCGAGCGCTATGATGTTGAATCTCAATTCAACATTTAGCCACAGCAATGGGTGGCTGGGTACAGGTATTCTACTAATAAGGCCGGCCCATGTAACTTGCTGTACAACAGAATAAGTATATTAAGTCAGGAAAAGCCTGTATATTAGGCCTTGAACATACTGAGATTATCAAGACACATGTTCATACCTGAGTGATAATTCTGTGCAGGGCACTAACCAGGATATAATGATACATTGGTGGAGATGACGGATTGAGACACACTTTCAGAACATCATTGTTGTGGGGTGTAATCCTGAAGCAACTGACAAAACAATCAATATACAGGTCATAGTCCTGAGACCCAAAGCCAGTGCCTTTGGAAAATGGTTTACTGTTGGCAGGTGGATTGAACAAAAGTGTCTGGGGGGAAAAGCAAATACTAACATTATCAAATAATACAAACTAAAAGTAATATATCTATCTAATGGGATAAACTCCAAAAAAAAGGCAACAACAAAACAATAAGATAAATGTCAACAGACAAGCACTGGTATCAACAGCTGGAACAAATTCGAACCATGGTATTGTAAAGAATGTGCAGGACAGAACAAAGTGGAGGAATAGATTGTGAGCCCTGTGTGATCTAAAAATGGCACCACTGGATAATAAATGAATTAATTAAATATATAATACATTAACCTGGAATAATAAAGAAATAAATAACATTAAAGCTGGAAAAAAGGTCCATACTAACAATAACAGTACTGCAAAATTTATGGTAATTTTTATGCAGGACTATAATTGCATTGTCGGGGAAGTCACAGTACTATGTACCACTTATGATGATAAATCTAACACAATCAATATGTTAGGAGATAATCATTTAATTAAACAGACCTTCAATGGTGCATGGAAAATGACACCTCTATAAGTTTCCACACATTGTATGATAATATTATGCATTTAAACTGTTAACCCACGCCTATCATAAAAAATCCAGTCAAGGGAGATATCCAGGAGAGATGTACCTAAAATATCCAGTCAAGGATGATATCCATGAAAGATGTACCCAAAACATCCAGTCATGGGAGATATCCATGACAGATGTACCTAAAACAATCATCGTTATTACTTGAATCAAATAAGGTGACCTTACACACTGGATTTAGAAAGGAAAAAAGGTCATCTCCTTAACATCCTGACATAGTCTTACATGCCCATATGAGGTAACATTATCCTTAATGAATGCATAAAATCTAAGTCTATAAAAGCATGTGCCGATTCATACATGAGTTAATGGTAACTCTAGTTGACACAAAGCTGGAAGTGTATATTTAGTTGTATGTGCAAGAAACATGAGCTTTTTCCCAGTACATTCAGCTTTCCCAGCAGAACAGGTACTCTCCAGTAAAGCAGCTAATTAAAGTGGCACAATGAGACTGCCCCAGTCTGTTTCATTACCTTCAAGTCATTGATGACCGACTGCACCAAGGTAAAGACAACATTGAGCCGATCATTGATGGGGATATACGATGAAGCTTTACACAGCCGTACACAAGTGACAGCAGCTCCTTCAGTATACTGTTTGTTGCTGCTATGATGATTTGATATGGACTTTTTCACCTCATCGATGAAGGATTTCTGAAAATTAAACATCCAAGACAATTAAATGCTTCGTATGCTTATACTTCTATGCTAAACAAAATTTAAATAAATTTTAGTAAACAACAATACTAAATTTTTGTTTAAAAAAAATATACAAGGTTTAGATTTCATGGATAAGGATGATTATTTCGTCTTCTCACAAAACATCAGAATCCTGGATCAGGTCAATGTTCCTGTCTCACCTCATCAATGTGGCCAAGCCATCCAGGTATTCCTCTCTTTAACTGCTTCTTGCCTTTTTGTCCATCAATCTTGCCAGTTCTCAAGTCCATTCCTTTTCATAACATATCCACACCTACACATAGAAACCAACTATATACATCTAATTGTTCTCAAAAGTTTCTGACTTTCGTGTCTCTGTCACGAGACAGCCCACACACCTCTCGACCTAGACTTGCCCCGGATCTTGTCACCTCTATGGAAATGAGACAGATCTGAATTATGGACTTTCCTCTATAGGTAAATAGTCCTTCTTTTGTAATTATGTGTCTACATGATGGGTTAAGTACTCAATTATATCCTAATTATCTTAGGAAGGTTACAGTTTTGAATTAAGAACCTTAGGTGGGAGATTCATTGATAGTGAAGCCGAAATTCCAATGGCCTAACTACCGCTTTGGACGCGGATGAATCACCTTCCACCTCTATTGGGAGAGACGCTTTGTTTGAACTTATTCTTGACTGAGCTTCCAGAAAGGACAGATAGCTTGCTGTCTTTTCCTGTATGTCTGCCTATCGTTGCTTAAATCACTGATTCATCCGAGAATATCCCTGAGCATGGGATTTTAACCTTGTCTGAAAGCCAAGTCGACAATCAGTATCCAAACCTTACCCAGTGTAACCTTCATCCAGCAGCCAGGAGGAAGAATGCCTTCATCATGTCACTCCTGTTGAGGCACCCTGTCAGTGATTCGAAAGTGACAGTAGTCTACAGAGTGTGGGAGAGTCATCACCAGTGTTAGATTATATAAAAGAGCACAAACTCTAGGGCACCATCAGGATCCAGTGTGTGTCTACCAGTCATACAAAGTACAAATATTCCTAGGTGGCTGTAGGTTTACTAATCTGCAGTGTAACCAGTGATGTTTATTTTTTTTTCAGTCTCTAAATGGAGAGATTTTAACAAGTGCAATGTGCATAATGTCTTCATATTTGTCATTATCAAAGAAAGCTGGAAGCCATGAATCACTGATTCATTACCCCAGTATTTTCTTATTTTGCAATTATACTCATTCTAGGTCTAAAATTGAGTTAGATGAGATCTTGTTCTTATATCTTACCCCAGTCCCAGAAAAGGAATGTAAGATATAAATAATTAAGAAGTTTCAGAGAGTATATATAGTTCACTCTTTTATAACAAACCTTTTTCAAAAACTGTTGTGAACATGGTGCACCTGTCTCAGCATTGTTAATTTCTTCCAAAATTTTCTGAAAATAAGGAATGATTCAGTAAATTATAGTGCACTTAAGGAAAATAAAATTAAGGAAGAAAAACACGAAATATTCTAAAACAACAGATCTGCAATGTTCATTAACTTCATTTTATTCTGACAAATGATCACTTATATTTCACTAATGATTATGTATTATATAACAGCAAGTGAAAAATATCTGTGTGATTTCTCTGGATTTGTATATATTTAAAAACTGGCATGTCCTCATGTATATAATCAGTGAAGTTTAAGTTTCTCAGCCCTATTTCACATAATCACCTAGTAAGCTAGGTCATAATAAAACATTTAACCCTATATAAAGATATTTACTCTGCTACTAGAAATTTAAACAGTATGGCTTCAAATAAATAAAATATCATACAGAAATTAATCACATGGCAAAGGTGAATTATTTTGAAAAGGTGAAATTCACAACTAGAATTTGCAAATGGAAGGCAGACTGGAAATGAGATGGCTGATGAGCTATATTACATTTTTGAAATAAAATAACTGGCAAAGAAATCTGCTCACCATCTTAGAAGCCATATCAGGACAAACTGCAGACAGTTAGTAAACATGATAATGCAATGTTACAGATACTCACTGGACACAGGATTAAAAGCATCATTTGTAAAGGCCAGATCTGAACTCTTCTTCTAGATCCTTCTGTCAGCACATTCAGGTGATCAAAGAGTTTATCACAGCAATCTAAAATTATTCACACACAAAAGTATTTCTTATTGAATACTTATTATAAAAAGGAGAAAAGGTAGTAATGGAGATTTAAACAATCACATCTGCGTGATAGTGGTATATCTTTTAAAAAGGCCAAAATTTTCACAGGTTTTTGTTTTTTATTGTCAGAAACACTTTCTTTCATTGATAGTCTTCTCAGAACCTCAAGGAAAAGTATACAATCTTTGGATTGTCTGTATGCTCAGTACAGTGTGGCAAGCATCTCTTCACAGGTTCCAGATAGTTAGCATCCTTTGTATATTTTCTCCAGGTCATGCTGGTGTGTTGGGAAACAAGCAGGCAGATAGACTGGCCAGTTCTGCACCACTCTGTGGTATGACAAGCTAGATGTTGTGAGAGCCTTTTAGAAGTGAGTGAACAGTAAGGAGGCAAAATTAGATCATTACAGACAATCACATTACCTGGTGGGAATTGTCATGAATCCTTTGCTGAACTTTTGAAGCTGCAGTGTCTGCTGACCAGTCCCAACACTCTGACCGAACTTGATTAGAACCCAATAAAAATCTGCTTGTTGCTCAGAAATTACTGGCCTGCACATGTCTAACTGTGTCTTCAGCTTGCACCATCCAAGACATTCCTCTCTTTATTCAGTAACCCTTAGCTCAATCTAGGGTTTCATTCAGGAGGTGACTGCAGTTACTCTGAGATATGACTCCAAATGATCCCTGAAGGACAGGTTTCTATCTAAGTGATGTCCAGGTACTTTAGTTTGCTTTCTCTTTTGATGTTTCTATCATTAATTGTGAGGCTTGGGACATCAGCTCTT